ACCCTGGCTCCAGGCAACTGCTGACCTCTTCTCCATCATCACCAGAATAGTTTTGCCTTTTCTAGATTTTCACATAAATGGAATCATGCACTATGTATTCTTTTGTGTCTAATTTTCTTCTTCGGTGTAATGTTTCTTAGATTCATCCATGTTGCTGCATATATTTGTAGTTCCTTTGATCCTGCTGCTGAGTAGTATTCTATTACATGGACATACTATAATTTGCTCAACCACCCCTCTTTTGGGGGGCATTTTAGTTGTTTACAGTTTGGGGCTATTATAAACATCTCAAACAACTTTTTCTTGGCAGCTGGCATTTGTTATTCTATTCAAAAAATAATAAAGTCAAAAAGTCAGAAAACGGAATCTGTCTTTATATGGCCAGTTGTTTTGGAAAGCCTAGATACCTTGTAAAAACAGGGACTAAGCTGGAGAAGAAAAAGTCATATTGAAAACTGTTTAAACTAAGTTAGAATGAGCAATTAGCCCATTAAACTGAGTTAGAATGGACTCTTCTTCTCTAATAGACATTTTATCTGTGTATGGCTGAACTGTTCTTTTTAAACTTGTCAATTTGTACTCATGTGAAATATCTTTTACCAGATAGTATAAATGTAATGACACTCAATAAATACCTTTGAGCAAGTTTCTCAAATCTTCATTTTGCAGTATCCATTCACCCATTAATCTTAGGAACTTTTGGTGTCACTGTCTCCACCCTATGTTTGCTTTTCAATTTCCTGAAGTCAATACAATTGTAAGTTATTCCAAAGCACATTTTTAAAGCTGTCTTAAATAGATCAAGTTCTGTAGTATGCCATCTTGGCCCTCTTTTGAGGCACAATTTATGGAATACTAGTGCCATGTAATGATATTGGGGCTAAAAGAATATACCTGTCACTTAAGGAGATAAAATTAATATATAGAAACCTGTTGTATCCATATATTTAGCAGAGTTTTCAAATACAAGAATCAATAAAACCTCTCAGCATCGCCAAAGTACAAGGACATTACGTTTACCTGGAAAATGATAGTAGAATGTCTTTTGCAGTCTAGTTGAGCTGAGGAATTTCCTAAATCACCAACACCTGGTTCCTTTTTTCTTAATAATTCTTTCAATCTATTTCTTTCCTCTCACATCTTACAATAAGCAGCAAGAAGAAGCCAGGCCATGCCTTCACAACCTTGTTGAGAAATGTCTCCTGCTAAATATGCAAATTTATCATTTGTCACCCCTGCAGACTAAAATGCAGTGAAGTTCTCTGCTGTGATATAAGGATATTCTTTCCTCCAGTTTCCAATGAGCTCTTCCTGTGCCTTCACTGGCAGCACTTTAATAGCCGTGTTTCTACCAGCTGTCCATTCATGACATGTTAGGTATTCTTTGAGAGGATACCAGTTTTCTCTACGTGTTTCCACTTTTCTATAATGTTTTGGAATCCTCACTAGCAGAGTCAACATCCACACTTTCTCTAACAGTGTGGTCAAAGCAACTAGGCTTTTTAAAAATCATGCTCCACAGAATTCTTCCAGACTTTGCCATTGCTCCATTCCAAAGCTACTTCCACATTTAGGGGTATTTGTTACAGCCGTTCCCCAGTTCCCACTCCCCAAATCTTAGTTTCCATGGCTGCTGTAGCAAATAACCACAAATCCACTTACTTAAAACAACACAAGTGTATTATCTTACATTTCTGGAGGTCAGAAGTCTGAAATGAGTCACACTGCGCTAAAATCAGAGTGTTAGCAGGCTTACTTCTTTTCTGGAGAAGAAGAAGGGAGAATTGGTTTTCTAGCTTTATCCAGCTTCTAGAAGCTGCTTTATTTCCCTTGGTAATAACCCCCTTCCATCTTCAGAGCTAGCAATTACTGGTCAAGTCTTCCTCACATCGCATCCCTGACTCTGACTCTGACCTTGACTCCCTTGCCTCCATTTTTCGTTTGTGAAGATCCTTATGATTACAATGGGCCCACCTGGATAATGAGATAATTTCCCATCACAAGATCAGTTGATCAATAATCCTAATTCTATGTGCAACTTTAATTCCCCCTTGCCATGAGACTTGTAACATAATGTATTCACAGATTTTTATTAGAACATGCATATCTTTGGGCCCTGGGGTTGGGGGGAGGGTATTATTCTGCCTACCATTATATTTACTGGTAATAAACACCATCTGTTTTGAGAAAATACAGTGAATGACATACTGTCAGCATTAGAATCTCTTAAACTCCAAGCTGTCTCATGAATGTGCAGACTAGGAATTTGAAATTTAGGGACTTCAACCTCGTATGGTCTGCTTTTCCTAATTAAAACTTCACATTTCAAAAGAGGTATTTTGGAGTGCTAACATGGTCCCAGTAAGTACAAGTACCAGTGTAAACTTTATCTAAATAGCTGTGTTTAAAACAAAGCGAAAGTAAATAATCTTAAAAGGAAGAGGAAAAGAGATTAATAAGGACAGGGAAGTAAGGGAAGAGAATGACGTTTATCTTGCCTTTCTCGTATTTGGCAAGTTATCTTGATTTGATAAATAGTACAATTGATGGTTTGCTTGTTTGCAAAAAATGAAGTGGTTTTGCCCTTGACATGTAAAAAAAAAGGTGTGCAATATTCCAAAATGTCTGCCCTCCTGCTGCATTGCCCCCTCCGTCTTTCTCTCTCAATTCTCTTTGTTTTGTGAACTTGTGGTTTTGGTTTATGAAACTGGACCGAGAAGACAAATAGAGTTGGATCCATTAATCTCATTACTTTATTTGAACTGAGAGTGTACTAATATCCCAGAATACAGGAAACATGCTGGTCCTAAAATTCCCTAGGTTCAAACAGATTCAAACAACCTGATTCCAGGTCTCGCATACTTAATGAAATGTTGGTAGATGAGTGCTTCTCAAACTTTAATATGCACAGGAATCAACTGAGGCTTTTGTCAAATGAGTATTTTGATTCATTAGGTTAAGGATGAGGTCTGAGGTCCTGCTGAGGAGGCTGATCACTGACCACACTCTAAGTAGCAAGGAGTTGATCACATCTCTAGTTGCCAGTGTCATTTGTACAGGTGAAGAATGTGCATTTGAGTACTTTTGTACTGTTATCAATCGTGAGTACAGAAAAAATAAAGCATCTCGAGAAGAAAAACTTGAGCTTTTCTTCCAGAGCCAAGGATTGCTTTGAATGGAATATTGTCCTGGTTAATACTTTTATTAAGTAGTCATGACAATTTTCCTTTTTTCATTAAATTGGAGGCAGGTAGGTTTTTAGCCTACACATCGTCTATAAAGAAAGAATGGAAGATGAATATTCTCATTTATGTACACAGTAGTCATTTTACCGAATCCCTATTATGAACCTTGCTTATTGCAGGGCACTCAGGCTACAAAGATTACTTCCTTAACATTAAGAAACTCTTAGTACTTTTTCAGGGCATTTGGAACATCCAGATTAGAGAATGCCTTTTATTATCACCTTCTGGTGTTTCCAGACCCTAGATTGATTGTTTTTTTCACACACTCCTTGCTGATATTTGCAAATGATGAGAGAAAGAGATTACAGACTCTTTCTAGCTGAAAGTCTACCTTTGGTAAACCTGGGCAGCCCCTGGCAGAAATCGCTGAGGTTAAATGTGGTACTTAACAAGGATTTTGGTGTGCCTTGGAATCTGAGTACGGTAAAGGCAGAAAAAAAATGATTAAGCAAGTCATGTTCCAGGTTGAAAATATATTGATAAGAGTAATGCTAATAGGGGAAAACAAAAACAAAATAATAGATTTTATAAAAGCCTACAGTGCATGACAACTAGAGGAGAGGCAAATGAGGCCATTTGGACCCAACTGATCTTTCCACCTGATCTTCCTGTACTTTTTAACGAATATTACATTTCTACCAAACAGCACTCTGTTTCTTGAATCCTGGTGTCATGACTTACAACCATCATGCAAAGGCTCAGAGGTTTTCCTCTGCCTGAAACAAAGCAAAACAAAAATAAAAAACTTCATTTTCTCTTTTCCCAAATATGACTAAACTTGTAAGGCCTAACTCTAACTCTACTCCAGTATAAAGTTTTGTCCTGTCAGAAGAAATCACTTCTTCCTCTAAGCGTTCATATCTTTAGATTTACTGTTTAAAAAATAGTATGAGATCCTCTTTAGTTGCGTGTTACTGGTATTTCTTTGTTTTTCTTTATAACCTTAAATTCTAAGCACTCTGAGGACAAAATCTCTACTGATCTAAGAGATTACCATGGGATGGGAATAGAGAAAGAGAATTCTTCAGAGATGGCAATGGCAAAACTGCAAATTTATAGCTTTGACCTTTTGCCTGATACTAAGGCAAAGTTTATTTAAATGCTTTTTGTCTTTTAAATTTTTTTTTTTTTTTTTTTTGCTTATTCTGACTGATAGAAGACAGCATAGTAGTAGACAAAGCTGGGAGAAGAATTTGCAAATGTAATGATTCTAATATAGGACCAAATTATTTAGTAGGTTTTGGGAGAAATCCAAGAATTGGAGATAACCATGAACAATTTGTCTCAGAGTTCCTGGGTTCGAAGAAAGATCACATAATAATCATGCTTAATTATGAATTCACAAGGAAACACATAATGAGATTTTTTTTTTAAAGTCAGAAAGGTGACTCAAAAACAGTATTAGAACTTAACTTTTGTGTGCTGGAACACACACATACAACCAACAACTAGAACTCAGTGTTCTGAACCAAGCAAAATCAGGACTTTCCTGGAAAGATATAAATGCTCTTTAACAAAATGAGTTGCATTTGCAAAGGAGAGGATTGACTTTAAACCTGAGAAGCAGGACAAGGTAAGTGCCCGTGCAGATATCAATATCCCAGCAGAAATGTTAGAGTTTTTAACTATGCAGAACGACAGTTTTTCTGAACCAGTGCATAGTAGAGAATCTTTTTTTTTTTTTTTGAAGTGGACCAAATTTTCCCTGAGTTCCCTCCCTCTTTTTTCTTTCTCTTCCTGTGTCCCCATCCCTCGCCCTCTAGCCTCTGTTTCTGCTGGGATGGCGATTAGGTGGCTGGAGGGCCAGGACTCAGTTCCCCTGCCTTAGTCCGGGGGTAGTGGGTGGGACTCCACACAAAACTGATTTTCCAAAAGCGGATTTCGTTCATTTTTTGCTGCACTTTCTCTGAGTTAAAGCCTAAGGAAAAAGCGCGGAGCAGGAGCCGCCCCAGGCGGCAGACACCTGCGGGGGAGGAGGGGAGCGCCTCCCGCAGACCCAGGGGACTGGGACCCTGAGTGACCTCACCGTGGTGCGTTTTAGCCGCTACTTTCTTTTTCAGTCTTTCTGAGCAAGGAAGGGGAGGAGTTCTGAAAAGAAGTCGCTTGCAGCAAGGAACGGAACTGCAAGGGGTCCTTTGGGGTCAACAGAGAGACAGGTACGGAGAGGCAGGGAGAGACCAGGGCCAGAACGGATGGTTTCGGAGCAGCGCGGGGAACCGGGTTTGCGAGGCGCCTCGCGTCCCGCGCAGCCTGTTGAGCAGGCAGACAGGAGCGGGCGCCGCGGGCGCGTGTGCGGTGGGTGCTTCGCGCGGGGACCGGCAGGTGCCCAGCCGGGCCCCTTTCCCGGCCCCCGCGTCCCGCCCCTGACGCCCACCCTCCTTCTGCGTTCGCAGTGCGGATTGGCAAGGCGCGCCCTGCCGCTGCCGGAGAGCCGGAAACGCAGCCCCGAGGTCTGGGAAGCCGCCGGGTAAGTGGTCGCTGCGCCCCCGCGGGGGTCGGAGCTCCCCACACAGCCGGCCCCTTTCCCCGGGCGCCCAGCCTGAGCTTGTCCTCCTTCCCCGCTCCGGGAAGCCCTCCTTGCGTTCCCAGCTGCCCAGCCCCGGGGGACCCGGGACCCGTTCCCACGCTGGGGGGAGGGAGGGAGCAAAGGAGACGGCGCCCGGGGCCCGGATCCGGCCCGGGGGACCTGCGGCGCCCGAGGGAGGAGGACTGAGCGGGGCGGGCGCCGGGCCGCGCGGCGCTCGGGGACCGGGGCGTGAGAACGCGCGGGGGGCGCCGGGGCCGCTGCTCTCCCACGGCCGGGCGCCGGGCAGCGCCGTGGCCTCCCGCGGCCGCGAGGGTGGGCCGGAGAAGCCAAGGGGCGCCGGGACTCCCGCGCCCGCCGGCTAGGCGGCTGTGCCGCGCTCCACCGCGCCTTCGTGCCTCCGGCTGCTGCGGGGGCGGGCGGTCCGCGGTTCTGCAGCTCCCGCAGCTGGGACCGCGGCGTTGCCTAGAGCAGGCAGCCCGCAAACTTCCAGCGGGGCTGCTCGGGGCTCGGCCCAGAGTAAGTGTGCGCGTGTGTGGGCGCGCGCCTGCTCAGGACCCCGATTTCTCTGTTCGTTTTGACTGCGGCACTTGGGGAAATGGTGAGCAGACGGTCACGCACAACCGGCTCCGCGCGCGGGAATGTGTGTGTGCTGCCCGAGCTTGGTGGGCTGAGCAGCCTCCCTGTGACATCTGTGTAAGGGGCTGTGCGTTGCGGTGTGGTCATGTGACTTAAGGCTATGGATTTCGTACGTCTTTCATTTTTGCTCACTTGTTTCACATTGTTGTTCTTCACCTTGAACTTGATACAACAGTTTGTATTTTCTGAAGTAAACCAGAAGGTTGTAATTTATATGTATATAAATTGTATGTAATTTATACACACCACACACATAACTTGAGCTCCATTTATCACGTATCAGTAGTGATATTTGAGGATCAGTCCTCCAATGATAATTTCTTTAAATGTCTACCTACTTCGTAGAACTAGTCTTGGTAGGAACATGGTTAGCCGTCAGGTTACATATAGATAAATGGTGGAGCACCTGATAAACTTTTACATTTACGTTCCAAACAATGTGTATTTTAGTGTAAAATTCATCTTTTGCTTTCCTAAAATGGCTATATTTTTTCTTCAGGAGTGGCTGTATTATGAAGAGTGATAAAAATCAGTAACAACAATATGGTTGTGTAAAATTCCAAAGCCAACCTTAATTTGTCAAAAAGCTTTTAGTGTTTTAGTGGAGGTTGTCTGTGTAGTCTATGCTGGGTTCAGTTGTTAAACTATTCGTTCTGCGGATCTGTTTCAAAGGGTCATGAAGTCCCTGAAACTGCATTTAAACATTAGAGCAGCTACATTTTTAGGGAGATAGCACAGGGTTTTCAGAAATCCAAAGAAATTTTTTACCCAATAGAAAAATAAGAACCATAGAGTTAAAATTCATAAACTATACTTTTTCTTGTCAAAACAATAAGCTTTCTTCATAAAATCTGCAGAAAGAATAATAGGCAAAATACAAGAATAGTGTTATAATGATTTAACATTTCATATATATTAGACCTTCTTGTATGTTTTAAATGTATCTGTTAGGAAACTTAGGTCAAATTTTTTTGGTAGAAATTTGTAATGAGTAGTGTGGTGTTTCATAGGGTATGAATATAAAGCACTCCTTAAAGGCACTGTTTCTAGATGTCCAGGTATAAAATGACATGTCTAAGGTAGTTGTCTCTCATTTAGAGAATGTATAAGGAAGTGTTTAGGTATTTTACTTAAATACCACCAGAGGGAAAAGATGTGGAAAACTTCACAAACCTTAGCCCTTCTATCTGTTACAGTTGTGTTTTCTTAAGTAATCTTGTTTTAAGGCATTATTTTGGGAAACTTTTACTTAATATTGTACTAAAAACTAAAGAAGTGACTGATGACTAAAATGATTTCTATTATGAATATGTCAGTAAAGTATTTTTGTACCTAAATTTCAACAGTTTTGTCATAGCCATTTTTCAAACAAAAAATTTGAATCTTTAATCACTATCACTTTTTTTGATAAATTAAGATTTTCCATAATACTACATTTTATCAGAAACCATACAAGGGAAAATAAATCCTGTATTTACATGTGTGGGCTGCATTTGCTAACAATTAATATGTGAAGGGGATAGAATATCGATTTGTTTACAATTTAAAACAATGTATGTACCCAAAAAAACCTCTAATCTTTTTCCAGAAATAGGTAAAAATCAAACTAGCCCTAAGAATGAATCTTTCTAGGTAAAGAGAAATGGAGAGATAAAGCAATATTTGAATAAATCAAGCCAAAAAGGTGTGCTATTAGAAAAAAAATGGGAGGAAATTAGTTACCAAGTTATTAAGAATATCTTCTATATGTTATATTTGCCAGGACACACATTTTTATGGCACTGATTTTATATCACTTAATTATAAATATTGCCCAAGCAAATGTTCTGAAATGTTACTATTTGGTACTTTTCTGCGTTATTTGTAGAAATACTTTTCTGTGTAAATTATCAATGATTTCAATGGCTTTTACTCTCTAGGCTATTTAGATTTTCAGAAAGTATGTATGAGGTGCCTGTGCAGTCATTTTGTTTTGGGTATCTCCATCCTGACCTAAATACAAGAAGAGATTTTGACATTTTTAGGTCTTCACAAAAACAAATTTAGTTGCCCATAGGCTAATTGATTTATTTGGGATTGAAGTAATTTTTTAACTATCCTGCACCACATTTACTGCTTTTATTTCTCTCAGTTTGGAAGGGTCTGACATTTTAGATTTTTCTCTCTCCTGGGTTCAGGCCAGTAGGCTTTATCCTCCTACAGCCTTGTGGTTTATGGACTATGAATGGAATTCTTTGCAAGGAGTGAAGAGCTTCAGGCCAGCACTTCTCTCAGCCTACAGCGGGAGAGAATGACTACCTTATAAAACCTGAGAGGCTCTGGGCATGATCCCTCTTTGCCACAAAAATGTGATTTGTAGCTATTAACTTTGCTTACCTAGAATGCGTTCTGGCCATTAATAATCTTTTACTAAAGCTAATCTCAGAAAACCAAAGGCAGCTCAAATTAATTAACTCACATGCCACCTCCTCCTCCTCACCATAGCAGGAATTAGCAAGAAGCCAACAGAAGACAATGGCTTTGGGAGTGAACACCCTGGGGGAAGGAAGCTGGGCAGATCAAGGAAAACTTAATCCTGAGATACCCTCCAGGTTTGACCTCTACATATCCCCTTTCACTGCCGCACTGCATTACAAATACTTGTTTAAATGTCTGCATTCCTCCCAAACTCAAATCTCCCCCAGGATAGTCATCCTGGGATTCCCAGTGCCTGGCACGTGGTAGGTGTCTAATAAGCTTAATTGTGTGGTTTTTGTAATTCTTGAATTGATCTTTTACACCTTGATGCTATGGGTTATAACATTCAAGAATACAATTTAAGAAGCAATGCTTGTTTTGCAATGACCCCCTACGTGGAATGGAATTGTCTTGGACCTGTAGAGACTGCTCCTTTGGCTTTTCCCTCAAATGTTTGCCAGCCTGCCCAGAACTGCTTATGCACTTATTTCTTGCACCACTGCCCAATCACTCTTCGTCTTTCTAAGTTTATATCCTTTACTTGTGTTACCCTCTCCCCATTGCCAGTGCTTAGTGACCTGAATATTCTACATTTCTTGGGAATCTAAAATAAGAGGTTTTTCATTTTACATTTTAATCAGCTGTCATTGTTCAGGATTTTATTCAGTGTCCACACGTTTGGCCTTCATAGGATCCTGACTGCTCTGCTTCCCTTTGGGATTCCCTTCCTACCTGGGTCTTTTCAACATTCAGAATCACCCCTGAAAAAGCTGAGAATTTTGTTCTCTTTCTGACCACAATCTCCTGTCCTTCCAATAATTCCACTTACCACTAGCCAACACCCTCTTCTCCCGTTGTTATTCCTTGTCCCCGCCCCCTAATTATTCATGTTTTCCTCTCTTTACTTATCACTCATCTGGAACAGCAATGTCAACTCTGCTCCAGCCCTCAGATCTCTTGCCACTAGACCCAGCAGAACCTGATTCATTCTGCCTTCAGCTTGAGGGACAGCTATCAGGACTAGGAAGTTATTTTATCCTTTCTTGGATAATTCCATATCCAGTTCTCCATAATACATACTCCAGATTTTTCCAGGTTTTCCAGTCCACTGTAATTACCCTTAACAGATGACCTGCTTTCCAAATTCACAGAAAATGTTAAGGTCAGTTTGGGTAAGCTATCAAGATTCACTTTGAATGTAGGAGACATTTCTTTATTTGACCTGCTCTGAGCATAAGAACTCTTGTGTTTAATTGTACCATTCACCTTACTTTGTATCCCGATTTTTACCTCAGAGAGAACTTATACAATATGCTTTCATATATGACAACTCTTTATAGTCATTTTCAGGTCCTTCCTCACCCTCAGTTGGTGTGATTTGAAGATCTCATTATTATCAGGAAATTTCTCCTCAGGTTGAACTCCTGTTTTTCTTAAAGTTTGATCTCTAAAACTGGATATATTGGGTAATGTCCGCCATAGAGTACCATAGAGTAAATTATCCTAAAATCTGTCTGTCCTCTAGAATTTTTTTGCATCCATAGTATGCTGTTGATGCATCTTTCTGCATACTTCTGCAAATATACTTCTTCTCCCTAATTGTACATTTGGCCACTTGATTGGGGACTTAAAAATACTTACTGCAGTTAGATTTAATCTTTACCTTTAGTTAACCTTTTGTTCCAGATGGTCAAGATATTTTTGGATTCTGATTCCATGATACAGATTAGCCATTCTCCCCAACTAAAAGGCATCTACAGATTTGATCAGGATACAATTATATCTTTATCCAAGGAACTGTGTAAAATGCTGAACTGGAAAGACATTGGCATGATCCCAGATACCTTCCTCGTGCTGTAATGAGTCCATGAATTAGTCCTCTTTATAAAGCTGTTCAACTAGTTATATAGTCAAGTAACACTTGCTTTGGAGTTTATATTCCTTTGTGTGGCCCAAGAGTATACTGTGACAACTTGGTCAGATTCCTTGCTGAAGTGCATTTCCACTTTCTGCAGAATAGACATTAAGTAACTGTATTAAAAGCAAAAGGAAATAACACTAAGTTAGTTTATAATGGTATGTTCCTCATGACCTCTCACTAGCTTGAAGGTCACAACACTTCCCATTTCAAGTGCTCACATACCATCGTTATAAGAATCTCTTGAGAATCATGCTTGGAAATAATGTCAAGTTCTCTAGGCTAGAGTTGGTGGAATCCACCTACTCCATTTTGAAATTTGAGACAACGGCTGGATTCTTTGTTCTCTATCAACCCTTCTCTTCATCATGATATGTTTAAAGATAATTTTAACTGTTCCTTTCTCTCATTCACAAATGCATTCAGTACTTTGTAATGTAATCAATGTAATCCACATGAATATATTTAAGCTCATGTAGAATATTTCATATCAGACTGTATTTTGGACTTCAAATTTGTTATTTGATTCTTGCCTAATTTTTGCTGGTATGAATATTATTTTCTTGAGCAATGGAGATGAACCAAAACAAAAATAAAGGAGTCTGCCTGCCTTGTCATGTATCAACATTTGAATTTCCTCATCCCCCTGTAGTCATTATGCTTTCCCTGTATCTAATAAAAGCATCATTATCATTTCATCTTTTAATAACATGAATTAAAGGGAGCTTTTTTAATTTGTAATATTTGAAAGCTTCAGTTTATATTCTGTATCTTATGACACTCAGAGGTTTAGTTACTTCTTCGTACTTCTCACAGTAAAGTTTATTATGGATTATGCTTGTCATTGAGGGAGATACAAAGAAAAGTTTATTATGACACAGTCCATGACTTGAGGGACTTTCAAGTGTGCACAGGGAGATAACAGAACCCAGAAATAGTCTCAGAATTATGCATGTAAGGACTTAACGATGAGCTTAGTATTGGTGGTGCCCGTTTTATTAAGTTCTAAAGAACTTGAAAGAAAGGAGAGCTTTCTGCAGGAAGGATATATTTAAAAAGGCTTTCTAGAAAAGATCTAGCAGTTCATGGAGACTTTAGAAGGAGACCAGGATGTTGGGCTTTGCAAGACCCGTAGGATTTAAATGTAGAGAAGAGCGAGACCAGGCAGAGCAAAGGAAAGGAGCACCGTAGGAAGCAGCTGTTTGGGCGCGATGTGGTGTGGGGGGTGCGTGGCATGTGCACATGGAACCGAGGTGCGGAGGGAGAAACAGCAACACCAAGTCTGCCCAAGCCACAGCTTGCAGAACCTACTCCAGAAGCAGCCTGAGTAATGCTTTGAAGTATTCCTCTGTGGAAAATATCACTACCCACCCTCCTTTTCCAGATTTCCTTTCCTTGCTGGGTCTTTGAGAGGTTCATACCTGCTAATGCCTTAAGTCTCAAACTCAGAATCTCTCCCTGAATCTTCCCAGTCTGTGTGTTTCTGCAAATCCCTGTACCCCTCCATCACGTTGTGGGACTGTGCTCTAACCGCTTGCTGAATTGTCAGTTTTCCCCATTGGGCTGATATTGTAGGGGGAGGTACCATTCCCAGTTAGTTCTCGTTTTATTCACTGACACCTAATAGGAGTGCTCTGTGGACTATAAGTGCTCAGTAAAAATGTGTGATGTGATGTGGACCTTCTTAGAGCAATGAGGCTGTATTGGGAAATATTTATAAAAAAGATTTAATGTAAAGAGGGGTTATGATACAAAACACTAGGATGGCAGGCTAAGTCTGCTTTATTAGGCAGTGTGGAACCGTTTGGTTTTTGAATTTGGGGAAGGGATATGGCATACACATTACTTTTAACCAGACCTTCGTAAATCATTTCCAACTATTTGAAGTTTAATGTGCATTTCTAGGTTTGACTAGGAAATTATTTGGCTTCTTACCTTGCATCCTGTGTTTCCATCTGTGAGGTTGAGAAATCTTATAACTTTAATACTGTGTTTTTATTAGAGAAATTGTGTTATTTTCCTTTATTTTAGTTTTAGATGTTTTGTTTATTTTATAGTTTAATTGTATATGTACATACTGAAATTGTTAGCTGCTTATTCTCAATTTTGAATCATTCTGCAGCTTCAGGTATACCCTAAGTAGTTAAATGATACATGGTTTATATTATTAAGTTAATAAAACTTAGGCCAAGGAATTTCAGCGTTCCATTCATATAATATGAACTTCTAAATTGTGTGTTTGTGAGCATAAAGTTTAATTAAATTAACACCATGGGTGAAGTATTTAAAGGATTACAAATGTAACATGGAAGAGATTTGGATAAACATACCAATGCTGTCAATACTTGCTATGTACAGATTGAAAACAAAATATTCTTGTACTGAATAGGTTCTACACATTTGTAACTGTGATTAGCAAAAGACAGTCTTCCCAGTGAAAACTCTGGGTAAAATTTCATTTTTTTAATGTTTTAAAATATTTTCAGTGGCTAATTGTCAGTAACATTCCTCTTTGTCTACTACCCCAAAGAATAATTTAATATGCCATGGCACCTATTTCCCTTCTTTTCTGTGGTGACTGGCTCAGAGTCCTTAAAACTCTTCTATCATCTTATGCTAAAACATAATCAGCACTGGTATGCAGGAGAGCTGTGGTATTTCTTGATAACAGTCTGTACCTTGGCTGGATAGTAAATTAACCTAACTCAAGTTGCTGTCTTCGCCTCTCTCCTCTTTTTCCCCTTCCCTTTGAAGCTAGAAGAATTTAACCTGTCTTAAGGGGGTGACCATCTACAGCTCACCTACTGGCTGTCCAAAAGCAAGAAGGTTGCCTATGACGGGTGTCGTAAGGCCATGCTCCACAAGTTTCTCTTCCACTGGTCCTGCCCAAGGGCCAGTCCTCTGGATGGATGCAGTCTTTGGATGTGTCTCTAGGAGACCGTGGGAAAACCATTCACACAGAGGAGCAGGACAGCCCTGTTTGCTCAATAACAGAACGCAGTTTTTCCTGCAGTAGTTCTGAAAGTGCAGTCTGCAGACTGGGGGGGGATGCCTGAGACCTTTCATCAGATCTGCAAGGTCAGAGCTAGTTTCATAACAGAATGTAGGCAGCGTGTGCCCTTCTCATTCTCATTCACTCAGAAGTATACAGCACAGCTTTCCAGAAGCTATGTGACACCTAACACGGTCATCATTCTAATAGCATGGTTTCTTGGATGTAGACTTTTACAGGTAAGAGAAAAAAGAAACTGAAAGCCCCAGCATGTGGGGCATACAAATAAAGGTAGATACAAGTGGGGTCCATTGTACAAAAGTATGGTACTCAAACAGGAAGGGAAAAGGAATGTCAAAAGATAGTAGAGAAGGTCTTGGGAAGAGCTGTTGCCTCATGAGGTTTGTTCCGGTTAGTTTTTTTCATTGCTGATGAAGAAGTGTCTTAACTGGGGGTAGTTAGAACATTTTTCCTCACCAGCATGTTGTGGCCCTGATTATCTTTCAGGTCAAACCAGAGTAAAATCAGCTTAGTTATTTTGATCTTAATATTGGAATTGTTTCTGCACATAGTGGAAATTGATAGCTGTGTGGTGTCACAGTCTGTTTTATGCACAACAAAATGATGTTTGACTATGATTTTTTATACCTTACCTATCTTTGACAAATAATCATTGGTTATTGTGTGTCAAGAAGTTTTGCTTGCATGCCATGTGTTAAAAACTATTTTAAGTGGTGTAGAAATCATGTAGTGTTCATAATTTCAAGCAGATAATCTGACAGCCATACTTCACTGTGTAACTCAGCAGCTCAATGTCTTAATCATTCTCTTACTTAAATGCTGTGTTATAGCCATAATGTCTTTGCTGTAATTGTCACCAAGCTCTTTTTTGTTTCCTTGTCTTTTGCACATATTTTCCTGCTCCTTTATATTTCCTGCTCCTTGGAATACTTTTTCTTGTTTTCATTGCCTTGTTATTTCCTACTTATTCTACAAGACTCAGATTATGTCTTTTTTTTGAGGAAGCATTACCAATGTACCATGTCAGGGTTAGGTGTGTCCCCATAACATGTCATGGTAGATCACGCTTAACAGAATTTGTGTGTTTTGTAAGTCCACATCCTAATCCCTCCATGAGAACCTCCTTAAGAGTCTAGTGGTGGTTGTTTTTTATTTGTTTGTTTTCAGCCTTAATTCCTGAAACCACATCCCTTAGAATGCGGTAGTAGGTATTTAATAAATATTTCTAGGATATACAAATGAATGCGTGAATGGTTGGATGATTGGATGAATTCAGGAAATGAGGTAGAATAAAGATTAAAGATTTTAAGGAATTTGTAGGTAGAGTAATTATGAAGAAAGGCCCTGGAGAAAGCATGTTGTGATGGAATCCAGAGCAGAATATAAACTTTAAGGAGGAAAGACATTGTCTTGTCCAACATTGGGCAGAAGGATGCACTAGATAACAGCACGCATGACGTTGAGGTAAAGCCTGTGGGAGAGTGATGTGGTATTATTCAAAAGGTTGGTGAAATGTGAACTTAAAATATGTCATTTGTAAGCAATAACTGTGCATTTGATAAAAGAACCCACCATTTTATCACTGTGTAGAGTTAAGTATGTTTTTAACATTTAACAAATTCACGTTGCTTTGGTTGAAGTATATGAAAAAATCAGCCTTATACTGAAAATAGTTGAAAAGGGAGGAATGGTTTAATAGTGTAGTCAGATAATTGTGGTTTTTTAGTATAAAATTTCAGAATTTGAGAAGGGATCGTTACTTGAAGGTTGCTTGCAGTATGGGACCGGAAATCATTAGAATCCATTGTTCTGTGAGTGGGGACTTTATTAGTGTGTGATTTCGTGATAGCATGCTCATTGGAAAATATAAGAACACTGAACTTTGCAGATCTTCCCAATGTTGACATGCTTTACACTTTATTATACACTATTAAAAAAATGACGTTCATTAATAGAACCACTGATCTCATCAGAAAGGTTTTCTAAGTACTGGGAAACTGTCAAGATAACCAAGGTAGATGGAGATGGTGCAGTTGTAGACTCAGAAAATTCATCCAATCTCATCTGTTTAAGCCAAGAATCCATCCTTAAATATAAATGAAAGATACAAATGAATTTTTTAATTAGAATAAGTATTATTCAATTCTGAAATAATGAGTTTAAGTGAAACTTTAAAATTTAGAAAAGCTAAAATAACTTAATATGACAGCAAAATGAAACAGCAAAGCATAGTTACTTCTTGTATGTTTATGTAGGCTCAAGAAAAACTGAAGTATTTCAAAATGATGATGCATTGGATAATAATGAGGTTACAGAGATTACAGCAGGTATAACCAGTGATAGCTGGGAAGAACACAGTAGAAGTTTTGAGAATAAACTGAGTTAATCCCCCAAAATACATTTACACCCTAAACAAAGTAAGAACAAACTGAGTTAATCCCTAAAAATACATTTATATCCTAAACACAGGAAGAAAATTCTACACAGACACACATTCTGTGAGCTGTTGGACATTGTTAGATCTCACATAGCTTCTGGAAAGCTGTCTTCTGAGAGAATGAGAATGCAAAGGGCAGAACATGTCTGAGTACTGTTATGAAACTAGCTGTGACCTTGCAGACCTTGTGAAAGGTCTTAGGCATCCCCAGTAGCCTGCAGACCGCACTGAGAACTACTGCTTTAGGTCAACGGGGCCTTCAACAAAGTAACATAAAGGTGCTAAAATAATTTTATGTCTAATTTCAGGTAGTAATAGTCAACATTTATTAAGCACATACTATATTCCAAATATTGTTAAAATGGGATTACCTTTATTGAACCCATTGGGAAGTGTTCTACTCTTACCACTTAATTTGCAGATGAAGAAACAGTCAAGAGTAGAAAAGTGATATGCTTAATGCCATACATTGAGTTAGTGGTGGAACCAGTGTTTATTGCCAGGGAATGCCCATATTAAATACTACACTGTCTCACCTTTTCCACCTATAGACAAGTTTTTCTAATGATTTGGAAGTGATTTTGCATATGATCAATAGCATTTGTTCATACAGTAGTCAGATTAGACTCTAATGTAATGAGTTTTGTTTTTTTTTTCGTAATGAGTTTTTAGAGTTTGGTTTCAAGGATGTGTGAACTTCCAAATAAAACACATAGAACAAGAAAATGTTAATACATTCAAAAGAATTTTGATGGAAATACAGTCAAATTAAAATGAACAAAGTATCTTTGCATTTTTCTACCTGTGTCAAGTTATGATTGTAATGTTTAGGAAACTTTTTTATGTTAATTTTGAAGAATATTTTGCTGGATATATAATTTAACATAGACAGGCTTTTTTTTTTTAAGATCAGACCTTACATTTTTATTTCATTATTTGCTAGTCTGCATTGTCCTCTGGCTGTTTTTGTTTTTGTTTTCTTTTTATCTCTGAATTTCACTCATTTGATAACAATGTGCCTAGGTGTGATTTTCTTTGTATGTATCACGTGTGGGGTTTGCTAAACTTCTTGGATCTGTAAGTTACGGTTATCATCAAATATGGAATATTCCCAGCCATTCTGTGTTCAAATATTTCATCTCCTTCCATTCCCTCCTCCATCTTTTTTTATTTTTTTATTTTCTGGTACTTTAAATACATGTATGTTAAATCTTTGATATTGTTCTACAGATTTCAGATGCTCTTCCATATTTCTGTTCTTTATCCTCTTTGTATTTATGTTGGGGTTATTTCTTTTAACCTGACTTCAAGTTCACTGACCCTTTCTGGTTAAATGGAATTCTTTATTTCTGATATTGTATTTTTCGTTTTTAGCTTTTCCAGTTGTTTTCCTTTCTTTATTTCCCATTGATCAATGGCAACTCGCTATTTATGCATGCTGTCCAACAGTGCCTTTGGTTTCTTTATATTTACCATGGCTATTTTAAAGTTCTTGTCTGACAACACAACATCTGGGCTTTTTCTTGGTCTGTTTCTATTAACTGTTTTTACTTGACCATGAGTCACTTTTCTTCTGGTTCATGTGTCATGTATCAAGGTGTGTGTGCCTAATACTTGGCACAGGGGTTGCAAGTGTGGAAGACTGATTTAATCTAAATTGTGGAGCTCCTCAGGATTTTAATCTGCTGTGCATCAGTTATAAGTTTGGAAACCATTAAGCTGGCTTCTTTTGACCCCTGCCTGTGGGAAATTCTGTACCTTTCACCATTACTTCATAGGGGGTGAAAATAGCCATGCTCTCTCTTAGGGCTTGTTATTTACTTATGTTGGAATCTAGTTCATTTAAGTTTCTTTGAGCCTTTGACTGAGGTTTTTTTTTTTAACTATTTGATTAAGATATAACATAGGTATAATAAACCTCTCTATAAAATTATATTTGGATAAAACTTGATTAATGTAAAGAATGTGAAACCACTACCACAATAGATTAAAAATAACATTTCTGTTACCCCTAAAAGTTTTCTTCTTTACCTTTTCCAATCAGTTTCTTCCTCCTCTTCTATCGCCAGGCAATCACTGTGTTTGCAGATTTGTTTTGCAGTATCTAGATTTTATGTAGGATGTTACAGTATGTATGCCTTTATTTGTGGGCTCAGTCACACAGCATAATGATTTAGAGGTTTATCTTCTTTGTTGCATGTATCTGCTGAGTTAATAGTCCTTCACATGTTTGGCTATTTAACATCTTTTTTAGTCGTTCACATGTTTAAAGACATTTAAATTGTTTTTGACTACTACAAACAAAGTCACTATGAATATTTGCATTCTAGTCTTTTGTTTTGAATATATGTACCTTTCTCTTGGGTAAATACCTAGAACTGGAATAGCTGGGTGGTATAATAGAGCACTTTTAATATTTTTAAGCAACCACTAAGCTGCTTCCTAAAGTGGTTGTTCTTTCTACATTCCCACCAGTAATAATGAAAAATTCAAGTTATCCGTCATCATCACTAAGTCTTGGTATTGTCAAACTTTTTAGTAGTAGACATTTGAATAGTTTTTTGCCTCACCACTCATATTATTAAACATATGAAGAGTTACTTATTGGCTAGGCATGTATCTTCTTTAGTGAAATATGTTCAGATATTTTGTTCATTTTTTAACTGACTTGCTTCTTTTCTTATTTAGTTATAAAACTTTATATATTCTGGATTTAATTCCTTTGCTGATGTGTGTGTGGCAAATGTTTTCTCTCAGTGTGTGATTTGTCTTTTTGTTTACTTGGTGACATCTTCTGAAAAGCAAAATCCAAAAAATTCTGATGAAATCTGGTTTGTCTTCTTTAATGTTTCATGTGTTGATTGACCTTTCTAAACATCTTAGCTTCATACAAGGTTAAAAAGATTTTTCTACTTTCTTCTAGAAGTATTAATTTTTACATTTAAGTCTGTAGTTCATATTGAATTCATTTTTGTGTATGGCACAAACTATAGATCAAAGTTCGCTTTTTGCCATATGGTTATCCGGTTATTTCAACATCGTTTATTGAAAAAATTTTTATTTTCCCATTGAAGTGCCTTGATATGCTTGTTGAATAATTGAGTACTCAAGTGTGAATCTGTTTTTTGGACCCTCTCATCCATTGATCTCGTCCAAGTGTCAAACTGTCTTGATTACTGTATTTTATAATGTTTTAAATTAGTTCTGTTTCAGTGTTTTTTTTCTTCTTTATTATTGATTTAGCTATTATATGTTGTCCATTAAATCTTAGATATTTTTTCAATGTCTACTAAAATGCTGGCTCAGATTTTGATTGGACTGTACTGAATCTAAAGATCATTTAGGAAAAATTGATACTTTAACAATGTAGCATGATCTATGCTGTATCATGATACATCTAGTATCTCGTTATATCAGGTTCATGGTATATCATGATATAGTGAATAAGTAACTTTCCTTAATTTATCTTACAAGTGTTTGTATTTTTCAATATAGGAGACTTGCAAGCCTTTGGTTGTATTTATTCATAAAAATTTTATATTTAATGACATTATTATAAATGGATTTTTAAAAACATACTTCCCAGTTGCTCACTATTTGTACAGAAATAACAATGGGGTTTTGTAGACTAGCCTTGTATTCTGCAACCTTGCTAAATTTACTTGTAGTTCTAGTTGTATTTTTATAGATCCCTTGAGGATTCCTACATTAGCAATTATATGTACATACAACAAATGGGAATACTTTCACTTCTTTCTTTCTAATCTTTTTTCCTAGTATTTCTTTTTCTTAAGTTCTTGCAATGGCTCTGATCTAACTTCAGTACAATGTTGATTAGATATGGTGAGAAGAGATGTCCTTGTTAATGTTCCTGATCCTAATGGGAAAATGTTAACTCCTTCACCTTAATTATGACTCTTAACTGTAGTTTTTATAGATGTCCGTTGATAGATTCTTTTGAACTGTGATTGCGTAGCTTATTTAGCTAGTTCATATTATTAGGTCTGGAGTGGGAGTCTCATGGTTTTCTATAATTCAGTCAGAAGTGGAAGACTGTATATTTATTGACTTGGTTTGAGCTAACTTTGTATTCTATGTAATATTTCTATTTACAGAAAACTACTGCCAATATACATAAAGACAAGAACTGCCCTAGCCTCAAAATCCTTTCTTCAAACTTGTTCCTCAATACATTGGCCTGAATGTAATATGTAATCAATTATACTGTAGCGTTTCCACACCAAAACTCCTGATTTCATTTTTTCTCCCCCACTATTCTTACTGAAATTTATCTGATTAAAGCTATAAATGTCTTTCTAATCTAAAAGTCAGATGATATGCCTTAGTAGTCCTCTATGGACTGAACTGGTTCCTCTCTCCCCTTAATTCATTATGTTGAAGCCCTAAAATCCCAATGATGGCATTTGGAGGTGACACCGTAGGGAGATAATTAGATTTAGATGATGTGGTCTGGGTGGGACCCTCATGATGGAATTAATGTCCTTAAAGGAAGAACACCAGAGAGCTTGTTTTCTCTCTCTTTCTTTGCATCATTTGAGGGTACAACAAGAAGGTGTAACCATCTACAATCCAGGAAGAGAACTTTTTCATCAGAGTTCAACCGTGTTGGCACCCTGACCTTGGACTTCCACAAGTGTGAGAAAATGAATTTCTATTGTTTCAGCCACCCAGGCTGTGTTATTTTGTTATGGCAGCCCAAGCTGATTAATATGCCTCCTTACCCACTTTAGTTTGCAACACACATTCTTTTTGAACATGTGTCGTCTTCTGTTTTCATTCTCCTCATATTTTTCTTTCTGCTGCTTCTCCATCTTAGTCATAACATCCTTCTCCGATTCTTGTATATGAATATTCCCCCAGCATGCTGAATTTGGCCATCTTCTCTCTCTACAGGCAGCCATTTGATATTGAACAGTTTGAATTAAATTCCTGACTTTAATGGCTTCCTCTATGTAGAGAACCACAAATTGGTATCTCTAGTCTGTTATATACTCCTTAATTAGACTACAGTTCTCAAAAGCATCTCTACCTAGATGGTTTAAGATCCACGTATGTAAAACAAAACTCTACATCCCTTTTCCCAAGCCTACTGCTCTTACCTCTTTCTATTAATGGCATCACTATCCTTCCAGACAAAACCTCAGAATCATCTTACTCCTCTAGGCTACTCAGATGCCACATGATGCCAACTTTAATTTCATAATATCTCTAATAACCATCCTTTCCTGCCCCTTCCCACAACTTCCTTCATTCCTCACGTTCACTTACACTGTTCCCCCTCTACAGCATGCCCTTTGCTAACTACTTTTTGTCTAAACCATAGTCATTTTCAAAAATAAGTTCAAATTCCATGCATTACAAGCTTTTCCTGGTCGTCCTTTTGCTGCCACTGCTTGAAACTGATACTTCTTATGAACATCATTCCTTTACTTTACCTGTTCCCCACTTTCTAGTATAGCTATTTAAGAAAATATTTATCACCTATTCTAGATTTTGAAGAAAATTAAAGAAAGGAATAGTTTTATCTTTTTCAGAAGCTCGGCAAACATTGATTAAATTATAGATTGATTTACTGATGATTCATTATAAAACTTGTTTTCAAGAGACAAGACAATTTACAGGCTCCGTTTAGCCTCATTTTACTTATATTTTATAGCTTTTCTGCCTCTGTTTGCCCTGTATATTGGGTGTACTTGGTAGCCTTCTATTGTATATTTTTGACATTAATTAATATTTATTGGTTGCCCAACAATACACGATACTGTGCTTAGTGCTTCTGATAGAGCAGTGATCTATAGGAAGCATGTATGTTTTTTCATTTGCCAATTTAATAGTGAAATGGAAGAGTAATGCAGGGGATCACATGAGCATTGTTAGCTTTTTTTGGCAGACCTTGTTGTGAATTTCATAAATTTCTATGTATAGTGAGGTTTCTCCCATCCAAAACAGGTAAAAATTAAATAATAAACTAAAAAAATAGAAAAGTATAAGTAATAAAAACAAAAATAAGATAGCAAAACAAAATAATAAAATAGAAAAGGAAAATATAGAGGAAAGCTTTTTGAAAAATTTTTCTTCTCAACTTGTATGTTATTTACACATGTGTATTAGTGTCTGCATTTACAAAAGATCTAGGGAAAATAGTATATGCATTTGATAATAAGAATTTACGCTGTCTGTACCCCTTCCATTATTTATACCAGATGACTTCAAGCCAATGGTTCTGTGTTTTATTTACAACTTAAAATAATTTACTGAAAGTCCACAGTTGAATAAATTGTAATCTATATTGGCTAGTTAGATTAAGGCTGGAAACATACCTAATTTTCAATTAAGTGGAAAGGATAGGATAATGAATAAGGTTATTTAGAAAATATGTTTAGAGAATTGAAAAGGAACTAAAGATAGCTTCTTGAAAAAGTGCAAAAGGTGATGAGAAAATCAGGAAAATGAGTCTATAGAAATATTTTATAAACTATAGACAGCCAAAACAATTTCATACTATGTGTTAATATTATGTGATGTGTAGATGAGATGTGGGCCTCTGATTGGACTACAATGAACTATTTATGATCACTCTCCAATGATTTAAGTGTGGGACTTGAGCTGAAAGTAGGTAAGTCTTAACTTGTTCTTAAAGTAGTCCCTTCAGTTGGGGGTCCACAAAAGGAGGAGGATTTGTCTGAATCTCACTTGAGGAGGTGATCACAGTTGTATTGGGGTGAACTATGAGCCGGTGGTCAACTGCCTGAGGCTTGTCTTACTTCTCCCTCAGGAAGTTGGGAGTTTGGGCCACGTTATTTAAAACCTGGACTTGCATACTGTCATCTCCAGTGGGAAGGATTGCAGAAAATAACTTCTAACACCTCTTTTACATAAACTTCTATTATTGCAAATGCCTGTGTCTTCATGTTGACTTTCATATAAGAGATACTAAAACAAAGAAGAGATACTGAATTGGGCTTTACTGTGAACAGGAAGGTTTCTTTCAACTCTCCCTCTTTAGAATCAGTTAGAGGAGAGAAAGTGTTAAAAAATATGGCTATGGTTTTGGATTTAGTGGGGAAGAACTCAAGCCTTTCTCACATGTAACTTTGTGATGATTCAAGTATATATCTGTAAAGTACATGCTCAGAAGCCAAAATTCTTTTCTGGAAATGGTTTATTCTAAATTAATCGTACATGAAATTCAGAAAGAATTGACTCTGTTGGGATTTGCTGTACGTTTTGTTGGCCTGGTCCCAGTGTGAGCACCAAGGATCTGTGTCCCAGCGTTGGTGACAGAAGTCATTTTCTGTTTCAGGAGTAAGAGCTGTGCTGCTGAATTACAGTGCAGGAAGGCCCCTACTGGCCACCAGGCTCCAGCCAGGCCAGGGCCTGTGCCCTCAGGAGCTTCCAGAGGAACATTCCCCTGGGCCTCCGGGGTGGAAGTGTCCAGTGATTTGCAGAGCGGGAGGCCTTATTCAAAACACAGCTCTCTCTGTGTCAACATAACTCCAATCTAGCTCTTTTCTTGCACTTTCATTAGCTTTTTCCCTAGGATTTTTAAAAGAAACTTTGTCTGAAAAACATGCTTTCCCATAATTTATTGCTCTGCTTTGCCATAAAGATCCTTTAAATGTCGGATACCCAATCTTTCTAGTTGTCTTCTAATTCTACTTTGATTCCCTCAATCAGTATAACCAACAGTCTGTCCTTTCATTTTCTTCTGTCTTCTATTCAGCAGATAAATGTAATCCTTGTTTCCTAGATTATATTTATAGGGGAACTTGAGTAATAATCACTGTGGTATATAAAAAGCCCTTCATTTCTCAAGGCTACCCCATAGCACTGACTCTGATCAGTCAGGTCTGGGTTCATTTCCTGTTCCTCCTGCTTCCTAGCAATGACCAAGGACAAGTTACTTAATCTATGTTTCAGATTCTTTTTGTGTAAAAAATACTCAAACACACAAACACCACACATACCTTTCCCCATAGGAGTGTTCTAAAGGTTAAATGAGAGAATGTATGTGATGCCCTAGGTGGCCCTTTAAAGCAGAGGTCAGAAAACCAATTCTATAAAGGACAAGTTAGTAAATACCTTAACCCTTGCTGGCCATGTGGTTTCTTTCACAGTTTCTCGACTCTTCTGCTGTAGTTTAAAAGCAGTAGCCATAGACAATACATAAATGGGAATGAGTCTGTGAAAATAAAAACTCATGTTTTTCCTCTCTCTCAATATTTCACTTCTGACACCAAATGTGTGAGTTTTCCTCACCAAGCAATTCTCCAACAATAGCAGGCAATTCAATTTAATTCAACTCAGTTCAATTCAATTCAATTCAATTCAATTCAATTCAATTCAATTGTGATACTATTTACTTGTGGAGTTAGTATCATATCCCGTAGGTTAAAGTTTCAGTCCCACAAGACTACCTCCACTTTAGATGCCAGTTAAAAATCTGAGACGCTGGTACTTATGACCAATCAGCTATAAATTTGGGGTTCCCACAACCCCTTCCTTGGGTTCAATAATATGCTAGAATAGTTCACAGAAATCAGGAAAACAGTTTACTTACTATGGTGCGTGTTGTCTGTGAGCAAGACAGACAACCATCTTGGCAAGTCTGCTGCGATGACCTCAGCTGGACTCATTTTACCCCTTCCCCACATATGGTTTATCTGCAACCAGGGAGCATTCCACAGATTCCATATTAATGACACTGGTAAGACATCAGCCCCTATTTTTACTAAACACATAGATGTTCCCCCTGAACATAGACCCTTTCTCCTTGCTTCTATAAATTAGCTCCCCTAAACACAAAGCAGTGTGGAGATCTAAGCATCCTACAGCTGCCAGACAAACTTCTGTAGGTAAGCTCCCCACAGTGAACCTCGATGGTGTACGAGCTGGACTTGTCAGCCTCTTTCTTTGATCTCACAGTCCGTTCAGCCTTCGGGGTCACTTTGCTTATATTTCCCCAAGTGGAACACTAGTTTACTAGGAAAGGGTACAACTCAGGAACAGCCAGATGGAAGAAATGAATACAGCATGCTTTGGGGGATAGGCAGGTCACCCTACCAGCACCTCAGTGTGATCACCAATCCAGAAACTCTCTAAACACCCTCATTTAGGATTTTTTTATGGAGGCTTCATTATAGAGGCATGAATGATTAAATCATTGACCATTAGTGATAAACTAACCTCCAACCCCTCCTCTCTCCAGAGATCAGAGTGGGATGGAAAGTTCTAACCCTCTAAAGATGGTTTGTTCCTCTGACTACCAGTCCACATCCTGAGGCCATCCAGGATCCTCTAGACACCAGTTACCTCAATAGCTTAAGAAAGACACTTAACACTTTTGAGATTCCAAGGGTTTTAGGAACTGTGTGCCAGGAAATAGGCAGAGACCAAATACATATTTGTATTACGTTACAACATAGCTGTGTGTTCCAATGAACCTTTGTTTATAAACACTGAAATTTGAATTTCATATAATGTTCACATACCGTGACTATTCTTCTTCTGATTTTTATTCAACCATTTAATAACATAAAGATCATTCTTACCTCAAGGACTGGATACAAAGCACTAGCTGGCTGGCTTTACCACCCAGGCCAGCCAGCGTTTGCCAGCACTGCTCTAAAGGATCCTGTCCCGTGTTCTCCTCAGTGGTGGTTTAGCTTTGACTTTCCTGGCCCAGTGTAGGTGTCTCCATACCCCCTGGCACCTCTACTCTTGATATATTTGTCTCTATTCTGCTTGGTTTTCTCTCTTTGTTGTTTTCTATACTTCTTGATTAATTTGTTCCTGATTAGGTTGGATAAGGTTTTATCTCCAGCAGTGCTTACAAGTCGTAAGTTTTCATGACTCTACTAGATTGTGACCCTTTCCTCAAGAATGTCAGGAAAAGTTCCAAAGGTTAGATCAGAAAAATCATGAGGGTCACTATTATATCTTTTCCAGAATCTTCTTTCCAAATATGACAGGTTAGAGTCAAGATCATTTGACTGTTCTCTACCATAGGGTGAATTCTGTGCTCATCAGGTCACCCTTTCCCCTCAAAGATGATGCCACTTTAGTATCTCCTCATTGTTCAGAATGTTAATTCAGATGTTCCATAGGCATTTCAAGCAGTCCCAGAATCCATTTCACTCTTGTCAGAAACCCTATTTTAATCATACTTGGGTGAGTTCCCTAGATTTCATAAATATACTAAAATTAACATGCCAGTGAGTATATCACTTGTCCTAGTCCTTAATTTAACCTTTGTACAAAATAAACATTTATAAGTTAAGTAGATAAAAAGGGTAGCACTGAGTCAATATTGAGAACAGCTAGCTTATGTAAAAGCAATGATTGGAGATAAGATTCTTTGTGTAACAAATACTAACATTTGTCAATCTCTAATTCTAGGGGTAGAAAATCAGGTACCATAGACTTTCTACTTCAGCTTGATTGTTATGAGTTTATTTTGTTAGAAAATTCTCCACATTGAGAATAATTTGGATATATAGAAAATAGCATGTACTGTAATGACGTAAGACTTGCTTGATTTTTATAACAGGTTTGGTTTAATGAGTAGAAAAAGATTTAAAATCTAGCATAACTCCTTAGTTTTTACTCTAATATTTTATTAAATAAATTTGACATGCAACTTATTAGCTGATATAACTATATGTAAAACCAAAATAGAATCTTATTCCTCTGTGCTGTGCTATAAACACTATTATTTGTGATTCCATGAAAGGAACCCTGACTATTGACAAAGATATTACTTTCTTGGTATTCATTAATGTTCTTTAAGTGAAGACTGTTTCTGTATTTATAGGGCACCAGGCACTTCTGTATATCTGAGTTCCCTTAAACAGTCTTTGAAAAGTAGTAAGAAAAGGTGTCATCAATATAAAACATAACTAGATCTTTCTGAGAAGATCAATTTGTCAATCATTCATTTTAGTGTTTCTGTTAACATGATTCTTTTGTGCAATGCCTTTGCAAGTATTTCTCTAAGCCTTCATACTGTTTTGTCACCATTTTATCATTTTACAAATAAGGTAACAGAAGCTGAGTGAAGTTAAGAAACTTGTCCATTGTCACATTACTGTTAAGTAGTAATTTAGATACTCAACATGGATTTATCACATATTGGGTGCCAGGTACTTTTCTGCATGCTTTATATTTACCTGTTTGTTTGCTTTAACAACATACTCGTCACATAGTTGCTGTTAGTATCCCTATTTTCCAGATGAAGAAAGTTGAGGTGAAGTTATGAGTACTAGTGCTCATAGTAAACATTACAAGCACTAACAAAAGCAATTAACAATTCTGGAAAAAATACCAGCTTAGTTAAAAGATAGATTTAATTCTAATGAAAACTGTACTACAGTGACTGTAAACCTAAGTTAAGGGGGAAAAAAAGTGAAAGTAGCTTGATGGGAAGGGACTATAAGAAAATGCTGAGCTTGCTGAGTTATGGAGATAAGGAAAAAATAAAGGAAAATTGTAATGAGTACTTCCAAGACAGGACATATGGTCAGACCGAGCTGAAAGGAAGAACATGGGGTGAATTGGGAACTAGAATGGCTGGTACTTTATACTGATGTTATTTTTTATTGTGTCTGAGCCAGTTCACATAGAAATAGAGAGTATTTATCTGAAAATAGGTTAAAAAAAAACAAAATGGCTTTTAGTGGGGTAAAGAGAATTACATTAAACTCATTTCATAATAATTATTATCTTTTCAGTAGATTTATTTTTAAGTGACTAAGTCTCTGCAAGGAACCATTTTAGCAAAGTAGCTATGATAGAAATTATAGAAATAGCTGCAGGAAATTGTTCATATAGTTCAGGAACAAAATATTGAAACTGATTTCGTGACCTGTAAGCTACCATAAGTGATAATGATATTTAAATTGGAGAGATGCTAACTGCACATATTCAAATTTCAGTAGTTATCACACTGGAGAATCTTAAAAACAGATATTTAGGATTTATAGGCTCAAATATTTTGCTATTTAATTATAAAATAAATATTTTGATATTAAAAATTGAGAATCACATAATACTGATTCTTAGAGTTAAAATCTCCCTACTATTGAGTATACTAAACTTTGCTATTACTTACTAAATCCAATGAACAAGGTTTTGAATCCCACTCACCTTATTTTTAATGAAGAATTCATACTCTCTAGTTACAAAAAATTTAAGATAAGCACCCTCCACTCTTCTTAAAGACAGCTGGAGACACCTCACGCTTACATAAAGTGAACTGCGAATGCAGTGTGGGGAAGGCGGCTGCCCTGGCCTGTCATGTGAGCTGGAGGCAGCATTCTGATGTCTGGGCTTTTGAAGGAGAAATTGCTTTCCAAAAGGATATTTTAGCAGTAAAAGTTGGAGCACTCCAGCTTCCACAAGGCATTACGTAATATTGAAAACCCCAAATCTGGGCTTAGTTATGATTAAATAACCAAAGTAACGGAAATTGTATTATGGACTATTTTGATTGCTCTCCATGGGCCTAAGAGTCTTACCTTGGTTGTGGTGTTGAGAATTAAAGCCAGGGGACTGTGTCCTCCCTTTCCTTCACCCCCTTATCTGGTCAGTGGCCAAGGCCTGTGGGTTCTCTCACTGAAATACTTCTGGGATTGATGCACTGTTTGTTCCTCAGCGTCAGTATTTTAGTCCAACCCAGATGAGCCACCTTTTCCAACTTTGACTTATTTCTCTTTCTGTATTCCCAATAATCTTGTAAAAATATAATCAAATCCATTTACATTCTTACTTCTTAGCCATACAGTTAATTGTCCATAAAACAGAGTCTTAATTGGTTTAATGTGGTTTCCAGAGCCCGCCACACCCCTGACCGCTGCCTATCTTCTCTCACCACCATCACCTGTCATTCTGGATGCTATGCTCTAGCCAGCCTGGGATTTTCTCAGTTTCTAAAACATGACTAGGTCTGCCTTGGCCTCCAATCATGCTCTTCTCTCTGAAACTCCCTTTACCTGGCTTGGGGACACAGCTTGGCTCAGATGTCCCTCCTTCCGGGATCTGGCTTTGGATTCTGGATTTGCGCTCCTGTGTGCCTCCCTCTTTTGAAACCTGTGTCATGCTTGGAACTGATGCGCTGGGAATAATTTTCCTGTTGGATTGTAAACTCCGTGAAGCAGGCAATCACCTTTAGGCATTGCTCGACCCTTGTATCTAGAAGATTCCCTGACTCATAGAAGACCAACCATAAATATTTGTTGAATAGAATAAAAAGTGAGCAAAGGAACAGATGAATGAATAAAGTGGAAGGCAACCCCATGTATTAGAGAATCCATGGGAGTGGGAATTATGAAAAAGCAAAAGCAAATGGCATGGAGAATTCAAGTATGTTAAGAACGAAAAGATTGATGAGGATTAACTTTTAGGAGCACATCTTTGAATTTAGCACAGTAACGTAGTAGAAGCAAAAGCCAGAGAGTTTTAGAGTTGGTGATAAATACTATTTAAGGAAGTGAACACAACATGTAAGGCCTGATCTTTCAAGAAGTGTGACTGTTGGGAAGCAGAGATAATGGTAAAGCAAAGGAGGGGCGACGGTATGAAGAACTCTAACATTTGCTTGCTGGTTTTTTTAACTTAGTCCTGAAGAGAATTGGATGTTCTTACCTGTTTTCCTGCTACTTTGTCTTGCATTTCTGATATATCACAGAGTAAAGTTCTATAAATGTTTCCTACTGCAACGTGTAAAGAAACACATTTTAAAAGGTTAGCTTATGGGATTTTACTTATTTTTTTCAATTTTTAAAGAAGGAAGACTTTCGAGATTTTTAGTCTACTAGAAAATTAAGCTGTTTTCTTGATGTTAGTTTGTGGAAATGGTTATTACAGTTTGCACTGAAGTTTGCAAACTTTATCCTTACTAAGGCACTTGGTTTTTGAAGTTCTCTCCTCCGCCTTCCATTTGCTCTTAAATATCTCTGGCATTTGATCTGAAAACACTTCAGGGTTGTTAACTGTGGATTTTGGCATAGCCAGGTGCTAGTTTGATGGTAGACATTGGGGATAGACATTTGCTTCACTATCAAGAGTTAGTTCTTTGGCTTTTCCCCTCATTTCTAATTTAAAATCTGCTCTTTAAAACCTTTTGTTACAGAACAGGCTTTCTGTGACTGTGAGTACTTTGGGGGTCATCCTCAGATTTTTTTACATGTAGCAAACAAGGTTTTTGTGCTTAGCAACCAGATTGTAGAGTGGACATCCCCCTTACCTGGAAAATAATGCACCCAGGTTATTAATGTGAGACCAATAGCTGAGTTATTATTCTCACATAGCAGAGTTAATCACTTACTAGTAAAAGGGAGAGAACATTTAATATATTTGGAAGCTGTTTAATCATCAACTTTGGGGATGGTAAATACCTCTTTGAGCTTCTGAGAATATATATCCCACTGCTCGCCAAGGCCTTGTCACCAAATTTATTCTTTAATTAATTTATTTTTCCCTTACCATGTTACTGTCACTCCTACAACCAGCTATGTACTGACCTGAGCAACTGACCAAACGATTTCTAAAGTTCCTGCTAATGCTACACATAAAAATCATCGTTTAAGTGAAGAGCATATTCTCTGGCAACACAAGACAAAACATAGGTTTCCAAGGTATAAGCTCTATGCACATCTGTTTCAAAGTGTAATTTCATCAGTTGAACAGATGAAGAATGCTAACTAGCTTGTTTATATATATGTAATTTAATGAGACTAAACACTTAACTGGCCTTGGAGTAAGCACAACTTGTTTCCTGTTGCTGTTTTTGCTTAATAAAAAACAGTGTTAGGCACATTTCCTGGAAATTAGAATCCTGTGCAATATAGAAGGAAGAATTTCAAGGTTGACTAGCCATTTGTGCCCTGCTACAGTGAGGCTGAGCAGGGCGATGGGTTAGGTGAAAACGGTTGAAATCTGATGTTAGTGAGAAGATGAAGCTTAGTGGAAGACTTCGTCATAGCTTATATTATGTCAAACTTCTAAGTCCAAAACTGAAATTCTAATATGTACCAAAATAACTTATTTTAGGAAGAAGTTCTATATGTTTATCAGATCCAACTTCTAATAATCTATTTTTGATTGCCTTTTTTTTTTGAATGCCCTCTTCTAGTTATTGTAGTTGTATTTTGATATAGTTGAAGTCCTCGCGTGCAATGAATGGAATTCTCCCTGAAAATTAGTATAAAATAATGGTATTATATTTTTTATAAATACTTTTTAAATGTTTTGTATTACATTCTCTTTTTATTACTTTCAAGTTGTGCAAAACTGGATCCACACAGACTGCTGTATTTTGGGGGCAGGATGGATAGAGGAGATGAAGACGTAATTTTGCCCCTATAGCCAAAATTATATTTGGATTAAAATGCTTCAGTTAACTTGCCCAGCTTTTTGCAACTAAGGGTCAGCAAACTATGGCCTGCAGGCCAAATTCACAGCCTGTTTCTGCAAATAGCGTTTTATTGGAACCCATCCATACCCACTGCTTTGTATATTACAACTCTGACTACTTTCCTGCTGTGATGGAGTTGAGTCATTGATGGATACTTGTAAAGCTGGAGATAGCTACCCTCTGGCCCTTTACAGAAAGTTTTGCTGACTGCTGATCTAAACCATGCAGGAGGACAGAATTAGTAAAAGAAGTAGTTATGTTGCGATGCATTAAAGACTGAAACAAATATTTGTGGGATTGAATGTTAAATGAAGCATGTTTGAGAGCCTTAGATTTTTAGGTCTTCCAGAATCCTAGTAACCATTCCCCCAGCACCACATTACCTTTGTTGTCTGCTGAAATAGACAACTCCCTTTTCTATTCTGGCAGAATGTTTTCTGCTCATGTTTGTATAGGCTCTTCCTGGCACCTTCATGAAGACTGATAAATTACACGTGATACAGATTTTGGGTATGACTTTAAGTGACAGAGAGTGCCAGCAAGCTTCTTCTGGTCTGTCCGCATCCATAACCTTCTCCTATACCTGATAGCCTGGGATGCCTCGAGGGGTGTTGGGCGTTGGATTTATCTTCCTTGTTTGTCCCAGTTCAGAACATGACTTGTCCATTGTGCTAAACTTATTGGATAACTTACCTGTGACAAATTGCAAGCTGTTGCTCATACGTATTAGGAGGTTATTAAGAGCTTGGAGGTGCATAGAAAAGAAGGAATAATTGTGCTCCAGTTCTAAAGACTGAACCATCCGGCTTGATCCTGTATGATTCAAATACTGCCAGCCAATAACTGGAATTATGTTCTTGTTTGCTTTTTAATGTATCAACCATATCTTTTAAGATAAACTAATCCTAGTTTATTAACTAAGTTTGATTATTTAGAAACTAGTATAACTTGGTAATAAGTGTTCGGGTTAATAGAAAACACATTGGCTGAAGTCATGTGGACCTAAACTTGCATCCAAGCATCCAAGCCCTGTCAGTGTCTAGCATTTCAGATGAATGAAAGTGATCTAATCTTTTGAGCGTCTGGTTCCCTGAAATAATAGTAATACCTGTGTATATGGTTGCTGTGACGATTAAATGTTAATACAAAGTTCCCCACAGTGTGCCAGTTGCATAGTAGAGGGCATGTAAAAACCCATAGTAGTAGAGGGTTTTTTCCACTCTTTTTTGTGTTTTTTGATTTTCCAAGAATGGAAGTAGTTAACGGACCCAGTTAATCAAGATCATTAGTATTTTTGATAAGCTGAGTTTATAGCCAGATAGTCCAAGTGACAGACAACTAATGATAAACTATGAATTATGTGGGGATTCACAATCACAACAGAAACAAAAGTACAAGGGAAAATATGCTGGAATGGCCACACATGTGATTCCAGTGGGCCTCTGGGAAGAAGCCTTTTTGGTTTACTGCAGTGCCATCTGGTTCTGATCCTGAGACCCCTGCAAATCCAGTGACATTGCTTGACATCAGGAGTTCTTTGAAAAAAATCATTGTTTTTCATTTTGATAATATTTTTCAACCATTTTACTATAGAGACAAGTAACTCTTCTGCCATAATCAATTCAGATTTTTCCATCCAAAAGTCAGTGTTTCATATCTGAAAACATGTACTTAGGTATCATTTTATATATATTTCCCTTAGGTATGTTTGGGAGACATTGGATATGCTATTCTGATTTTTCAGAAAGGACAGCATAATGAGACATAGATTTAGACTTGGCTTCTGTCATAAAATCATAGTGTTCCACTCATGTGGAATCAAACTAGACCAAATGGGCTATAAAAATGGAAATCAGTAGCTTGTCCTAACCACATTTTAGAGAAAATTAAATTCCATTTGAAAAATATTAAAATATTAAAAGCAAGTATTTGACTAGTGTACTGAAATAAATGGAGACATATGAAATAAAGATCTTTACCAGATATTCCATCCATTTTGTAATTAACATGGCCACCCCAATTTTTATGTTTTTTTACTTGAAAATGACATATGACTGTGCGGTCTTTGCTTTTTCACACCTGTCTTTTTCTGTTTTGGTGAGAATACAAAGTCAGTCTTCCTTCTGTTCTTTCTACTACCCACAGGCACCCCAGTCACCGGTGTCCTTGATCTGAGAGTGGCTACTGTTGTGTACTTGTGTACTCTCCCACACAAGAAGTCAGCTTACTAGGCGGCGATCTGCAGCCTGTCAGAGGCCGCCAGCACCATGTTCTGCAGGAAGCTGAAGGAACTCAAGATCACAGGGGAGTGTCCTTTGTCCTTACTGGCCCCAGGGCAGGTTCCTAGAGAGCCAGCAGAGGAAGCAGCAGAAAGCTCAGAAAGCTGCAAAGCAGCTCTGCCCATCTGTCAGGATGTTCCTGAGAAAAATGTACAAGGAAGTCTTCCTCAAAGAAAGACCAGTCGGAGTCGAGTCTATCTTCACACTTTGGCTGAGAGTATTTGCAAACTGATTTTCCCAGAGGTGAGTGCTTGCCCTTTCGAGATTTTACTGATATTTTGAAAATTGTAAAAGAATGTTTTTCTAGGGAAAATGTAAACACTGTCTCACTTTCAAGACTGTAACAGATGTAGTACATTTCCTGGAAACATATAAAAAAATATTCCCAAGCAATCATATTATTAAGTTGTGTTTAATTGTAAAATGTTTAAGATTTTGAATTCTTTTCAAAAGGATCCTGCACTCTGACAGGCTTTACAACTTTGAACAACTGTTTAACTCCCCTTAGCCTCAGTTTCCTTATCTGTAAAATGGAAATAATAACAATCCCTACTTCTTAGGGTTTTAATAATTACTAAGTGAAATAACTCATAGCTCTAACCACATCATAAGTGCCTGGTAGTAATTAATTATTATCTGAAAATTAAATTCCCAAGAGCATCATATGTTCCTTGCCAATATGTTGAGGTGGGAAAATCTCCCTTTTTTTCCCCTAGCTCTGGGTCTGAAGTCTGCTCAAGCCAGGCTTGACTTGCTTCCTTGAATCAGAGTCATGGGCCTGTTTGCCAGTGTCTGTGTGTCATTAGCTGGCCACTTATTGAGATAGATCTGCAAGCTTTCTGAATTGCTATTTTGAGATCTGGAATATCTTCTGTTAGTCTACCCTTAAGAGAACTCTGGACACAGGGTGTATACCTAATTAGGTCAAATATCTCAGGAATACCAGAGGCATGTGTCCAGCAACTCTCCCCTGGTGGGGCTAAAGGAAGAGCAGCTGAAGCCTTCATGCAGTCTTTCTACCCCTGTTAGTGTTCACAGTTTTATACAAACTCACTTTACCCGGGAGATTGGACATTGACGTAATCAGACTTCCAGCTATCATAACCCATTGGTAGTTTTTAACTGACTCAGCACCAGCCCTCTGCTTTGTATGAAGCACTGAAGAATCACAGACTGCCAACTTTTAGGACTGACAGGAGCTTCCAAGGTCATCTTGCTTCACTCCCAAAGAGGACTAGGGAAGTTAAGTGACCTGACAAAAGGCACACAACTCTGGAGGGGTAGGTCAGTGACTGCTGCCACCACAAGGGGCTGCAGGAACTAAGAAAGAAGAGACTTGATTTGAAACTTGAAGGATGGATAAGTTCGCAAGCAGAAAGTTGAGGGAGTTTATTTCAAATATAATATTAGCAAAGAGTACCTGGCTAATGGCCTTTGGGACGGAACTATTTATGCCCACCTTCCTCCGTCACAGCCAGCCAGCTTGGCGGCGATGAAGGCTGAGGCCCCTCTCAGGAAGTTGGCTGCCATCACAATCTGGGAAGCGGTAGGTACTCTCGTGTCTACGGATGAAGAGAGACGTAGAGACGAACAGATGGTGATGATGGAGAAGCTGGAGAGCTTCCGTGCTTTCCCTGAGTCCTGTCATTACCGTGTGGGCTTCATTATTTTGTTGGATACATTTTGAATTCCTACAACAGAAATCACACACATGTTGGAATCTCTTTTAAAAACATTATGAACACTAAGTACAAATGATATTTTCCTTTTTTCTTTATTTAGAATAATCTGTGTTGTATGTTTGCAAAATCATAAGAATAACCATCAAGATTTGACTAGAGCACCACGTGGCCGAGAAGGGAGGGCTACAGGAATTCTAGGAAGCATGAACGACTGGAACTTTTGTCTGACAACTGAGGCCATTTGCCTTTTAACAGTAAAGGCCCAACGCTGAATACATGGGACTATGTAGAAAGCAACCTAGATTACTTTATCAACTGATCAACTGTCCAAACATCTACATGCCTTTGATTAAGTAGCACCTATTTTTACTGCTCCTTTTTTAAGATTTATACTCAGCCTACTGTTTAGTTTCAGTTCTATCAGTAACCAAAGAAAGAGAAACAAAATAGCATTCAACAGCATAGTTTTTGTTTTAGATAATCAAACTTAATTCCCCAGTTATGGTTTTCCTTTGGGGTGTGGGGTAAACGTAAAAACTCATTATCCTTGGCAAATGTCATTCCAGCGAAGGAGAATAGTAAGGCTTAAGAAGGTCTTATTGCTCATCTAGTGTAAACTTTTCATTTCTGTTTGAAGAAATCAAGGCACATAAAGTTAGTGCACTTGCTTTAACTAAAAGATAAGTAAGGAGATGGAAAGGTGTGCATCTTATTTACTATCTGTTGCTCTTCTATTATACTATTGTTAACTCACTTTTCATGATACTGCTCCCCAGTAATCCCGCAAGCTCCTCCAGCAAATGTGTCTTAAGGAATTTGCAATAATACAGTATTAGCCAATCTTATAGCAAATCAGACCCACTTACTGAACTGAGCTGATTAAATTGGGTATGCTTAAATATTATCCCAACTCGAAGACCTCATGAGACTAGATAGACCTGAGGAGAATCATGAACAGGAAGTTGGCTGCCATCACAATCTGGGAAGCGGTAGGTACTCTCGTGTCTACGGATGAAGAGAGACGTAGAGACGAACAGATGGTGATGATGGAGAAGCTGGAGAGCTTCCGTGCTTTCCCTGAGTCCTGTCATTACCGTGTGGGCTTCATTATTTTGTTGGATACATTTTGAATTCCTACAACAGAAATCACACACATGTTGGAATCTCTTTTAAAAACATTATGAGCACTAAGTACAAATGATATTTTCCTTTTTTCTTTATTTAGAATAATCTGTGTTGTATGTTTGCAAAATCATAAGAATAACCATCAAGATTTGACTAGAGCACCACGTGGCCGAGAAGGGAGGGCTACAGGAATTCTAGGAAGCATGAACGACTGGAACTTTTGTCTGACAACTGAGGCCATTTGCCTTTTAACAGTAAAGGCCCAACGCTGAATACATGGGACTATGTAGAAAGCAACCTAGATTACTTTATCAACTGATCAACTGTCCAAACATCTACATGCCTTTGATTAAGTAGCACCTATTTTTACTGCTCCTTTTTTAAGATTTATACTCAGCCTACTGTTTAGTTTCAGTTCTATCAGTAACCAAAGAAAGAGAAACAAAATAGCATTCAACAGCATAGTTTTTGTTTTAGATAATCAAACTTAATTCCCCAGTTATGGTTTTCCTTTGGGGTGTGGGGTAAACGTAAAAACTCATTATCCTTGGCAAATGTCATTCCAGCGAAGGAGAATAGTAAGGCTTAAGAAGGTCTTATTGCTCATCTAGTGTAAACTTTTCATTTCTGTTTGAAGAAATCAAGGCACATAAAGTTAGTGCACTTGCTTTAACTAAAAGATAAGTAAGGAGATGGAAAGGTGTGCATCTTATTTACTATCTGTTGCTCTTCTATTATACTATTGTTAACTCACTTTTCATGATACTGCTCCCCAGTAATCCCGCAAGCTCCTCCAGCAAATGTGTCTTAAGGAATTTGCAATAATACAGTATTAGCCAATCTTATAGCAAATCAGACCCACTTACTGAACTGAGCTGATTAAATTGGGTATGCTTAAATATTATCCCAACTCGAAGACCTCATGAGACTAGATAGACCTGAGGAGAATCATGAAGTCTTTAAATGTGTTTCAAAATATTGGGTAGCAAGAATTAAAAAAGAAACAGTATTTTAATTTATCCTTATGAATTGAAATATTCTTGGTCTACAAAAACATGAAAAACTATAGGAAAGTTACAAAACAACTGAAATAGCTACTTACCTATAAAACATACAAATGAAATTCCATTCAGAGTGTTCATAGCAATGCTGTATCAAATAACAGTTGTCCCTGACATGTTAATATATGGTATATTTGTGAGAAAAGTACTTGTCTTAACAATAAATACATACGTCTCCTTTATCAAGTCAAAAGATAAAAGTTTAAGAGAAACAAACTCAAGAGCAGCAGTGTATTTACTTTTGTGGACAGGCCCTGCTCTGTGAATCAGAAATTCCCTCACCAAACACAAACACTTTAGGGTTCAACTGTTGTGGAGGTAAGTGGAGCCCAGTCCCCCAAAACACAAAATGGAGAGTTTCCCAAAAAGGGAGTTTGGGTTCTGGGCAACTACAAATCTACAGCAGTCTCCTATACAATATTGGAAGGAAATAGTGGACCTAGTCTTAAAATACCATACATAGTAAGCTAAAAGTCAGTACAGGATATTTGGGATGTGGAGTATCTGACCCTCCTGTGGTTCATTTTATGTCATGAGGCCTCGGGGTCGGACTTACTTAAAGTTGAATCCCGCTAAGGCTTTATTGTGGACTTGCCGTGTCCCAGGGGCTAGACTATGTTACAGGAGCTAAAGCACCAGGCTCGGAAGCTATGCACCGGCAGCCTTTACCAACAAATGTTTTGCCTGGAAAGCTTGTGGGTTTTGTTTTCTTTTGAACTTCTAGCAGTCTTACAGCAGAGCAATAGTATGTGATGAAAGTAGATACTCACAGAAGTCTGTTAACCCATAATATTATCAAAGTGCACTTACAAAAGCTTTGCTAGGACTTCAGCACTTCAGAAAAACAAGTTCTAGTTCAAAATGGAAAGTCAGGATTACACCTGCTTCACTAACCTCAGCAATGGGAAGAGGGACCATTTCTCCTCCTCTCTTACAATGGCAGCATGTATGTTAGGAGAAAAGGACTGGAAAAGGAATTCCTGGTGGCAGTACGAAGGAAATGAAGACCGAGGAGAATCTTGACCAAATTGAATCTAATGTGTACCTGATGCTTTAATCAGAAAGCTGAAGAGGAGGAGAATGGTGTCGCCATTAGCACTTGGGAGGGGGAAGGACAATTCTTCAACGGCAGAATTAGATGAATCTTCCCGCATTACCCATCAAAAGGTTCTAGTCAGAGCAGCAATTCATGTATAAATAGATATAATTCACATTATCTTAAATTATCTTTGAGATAATTCATAATACCTTAAATTAGAAGCAATCTAAATTTATTTGTTGACTAGCTAAAAGAATAAAACCTCTGTATCACCTCACTGATAAAATTTGTTACAGATTAAGACTTTAAGACTTCTAATAGCTGCCAGTGGGAGTGTTTTTCATTCATTAATTAATTCCACTGATATGTGTTGAGCATCACCTATGGCCAGGTATTGTTTTGGGTGCTGGGCATACGGTACTGAATAACACAACTAATCCTTGCCCTTTTGGACCTTCTGTTCTAATAGGGGAAACAGATAATTAATAATTAAAAAGTCAGGTAGCCGAATACATGAAGGAAAACTGAGAGCTCATGCACAAAGGCAATGACCCTCACTTTTTTGATGACCCCTTTGCCCCTAGGAATATGTTTCATAGGAAGAAAGGACTGATAGCAACCCATGAATTCATGGGATTTAATCCTTACTAAAATTCTAGTAATTCCTAAGTGACTTTCTACCAAGTAAAAGGTCCTTGAGAATTTAAAGCTTTTTCAAGAATCTTAGCTGATCTACCTCATTTAGAGTCTCCAATTTAATATTAACTTCTTCTTTCCTTGATCTGAGAGACTGCTGAGTAACATACCCGCATGTTCCTTCCTGAACATGTTCCTCACCTGCCAGGCTTCCTGCGCTTTGCCATTATACAGGTCATCAGTACCTTACGTAGAATCTGCCCACTGGGTAATTTGCCTGCCAAGCTTTCTTTCATACTGAAGTGGATGCATCCTCTCTCCTTATTAGAATAATCAGAAAAAATTGCTCTACACTGTAAATTGGGGCTTCTTTACAGCACTTGTGTCTTCTTTTAATCAATTTCAAATTTCTTTTCTAAGTTATATATACACTTTAAAACTGGAAGTCCTTTGTAGTTAAACAGAAAGCTTGCACTATTTTGCTTGGAAACTCTTGAGAGAGGTATAAATAGTTCTTAAGGAAAAAGGAATTTCCCAACTTGGAACATAAACAGAAAATCCTTCACTTTCCTGGTAAACTACAGAAAGGATCAGTGGTTAAATATATACATATAGATAATGCAATTTTTATGTGGAACCCAAAAAACTCGGCAGCACTCTTACAGATGCTCTACTTCCTACTTACCAACTAGTTAAAGACAAGCTGTTAAGTGAGGCTGACAGTCAACAAGTATTTTTGTCATTTGGAAGCTGACATACAAATATCTTGCAACATAGGAAAACTCACAAAATACTCATAAATCCATAAAAGAGTAACTATATGCACTTGGCAAAGATTATTAGTTCAAGGAGAAGAATTAGCATCAGTTGGGGTAAATCAAGGTTAGTTTCAAATCAACAGTCAACTGACATTGGTGACAGATTGGATTTAAATGATACAAAAAAAGTGGAAAGACAGAGATAGCTTCAAGGTTTTCCAGAGGAGGAGAAATAAATGGTATATAGGATATAAATTTGCATTTGTAGTTAAGGGTGGAGAGTCACTGAGGAGTCTGGGGATAGAGTTTGTGAAAGGAACAGATCTTTGCTTGGCTTGAGCTGTGCTGAGATTGAAGTACTGGCAGCCCACCCAGGGGTTCTTCCTCACCCACAGGAAGGGATGCCCACAGTTCCCTCATAGAAGACCAGACATTACCAAACTAGTCTCCTGTTTGTATTCCAGCTCAGCTTGACCTTGTTTTGTAGCTGGCAGTTAGACCACCCACCAAGGCCATAACCCACATCCAGACTCAAAATAGTTTGAGTTCATTGTTTCTTCTTAAATTTTAAAATTTTATGGAAAATCAGTCCCCATTTCCAAACTGTAGATTCACCACCCTTATTAGTAAAGTAGTAGTATTTCTGCTTTTCATACAAAACTTTCAGGATGAATTTTTAAGATATGTATATCCTCAAGTAAATGATTGTTTAATGCAATGTTTAAAACTTTTCACTTTTCTTAGTTGGAGCGGCTGAATCTTGCTCTTCAGAGAACATTGGCAAAACACAAAATAAAAGAAAGCAGGTAAATGGAACCACTTTTGCTGTGTGAACCTCTTATCACAATTACTGATAATGTTTTCAATAGCCACCACTTATTGAGTGCTAGAACACTTTTGAATCATTATGGTAATGCCAGAAACTGAGTATGTGTTTTAGCTGCTACTTGTCTAAAAGTAAGTGGATTTATTTTTCACATTTTATACATCACTAAGTGCAGGCTTATATAAAATGTTTAGGATTTTTACAGCGGTTTAGGAAAAGGCAGAACCGAGTTTTGAGCCTGTTTTTTTCACACCCCATGATTTTAACCATGTCACCATATATTGCTGCTTCTAACAAGCTCCCGTAAGGCCTATTTTTTCCTACCAAGGGGTAGCTTCTAAAATACTTAGCAGTAAGGATGGACCCTAAGCAGTCAGCACAGACTCGCTGCCTGAAGAATGCTGCCAGAAGGGTAGAGCAGGGGCCCAGTGCTGTCCCGCACTCCAAACGTTAAACCTTTCGCTGCTGCATCAGGAGGAGGTGGAGAAAGGATCTAGGATCTAGGAGGGCTGTGGCTTAGGGGCTTAGTGCAGCTGCAATTTATTAAACCTCGGGGAACTGTTCAGTGTTTTCATAACCAGTTTGGTTATACTGGGGTGTGCACTGGCTGGCTGTCAGTTACCTTTATACTTTTTCTTGTACTTCTCAACATTTTCTTTCAGAAAGCTTTCAGTAAAGGTTCACTATATAAGGTGGTTTTTTAAAAAATATGACCTTTATAGCTGATTTTTCCAATTTATCTTGGCATATTAGCTGCTAGTGGGTGCATAAATTGATTGGCTTTGTTTTTGATTCCCTGAAATCCGAAGGATTTTTTCATTTGCAAATAATGGAAAAAGCACTTGTGTTCAGATTTGCAGAATTGATTGTTGAAGTTTTGCAAATTAATACTACTGACAGGAATATTTTATGAATTCATTCATCTGTCTATTTCTCATGAGTCGATAATCTGCTCTGTGGATTATCTGTACATAATTTTCTTTGCTGACTAACTGGTCCCAGACTTCAGGCAGTAAGCAAGCCAAGAAGAGGTCACAGACTCGCCCAGAAGGAGAGTGTGAATCTATGTGTCTGACAGAAGCTTTGTTTACACGAGTGATACAAAAAGCATTCCAGAACACCTCTGACCTTAATTCGCAGGCAGACTGATAAGATAGCCACAAGTCACTGTAGCTTTGCTACTGTGTCTGTCTCCTTCAGTCCTTGGCAGCCGGTTTACTCAAAATTTATTCTCAAGGCTTTATGCTCTGAAATATCCCTAAGCCAGATGCAGACACTCAGTTAGGATGTGTTCCCGGCAGTCTATCTCTTTAAAAGAAAAAAGTCTCAGAACTGAAAAAGTCATTTTATTTGGAAATCTTAAAAAATATTTTGCCACTTTCTTGATTTCTTAAGGAGCTGATCATACTGTTCAATTGTCCTAATAATAATTATTCAGTTATTCAGTTGAAATAAGATAACAGATGTTTTTTCTCATAACTGCCTGCCGATATGATAAATGGCTTCTCTCTACTTTGCTTTTTCAGTTCTTGGCTATATGCTTTGTTTCTGTTTTTCCCCCCATATTCTTTTGGAAAGTCAGCTGCCATTTCTACTGCTCTCAGTTTGTCAGCTGCTGAACATGCCTTAATTCCTTTCTGTGGACTGTTGATTAAGTGACTTGAAAAGCAGAACAACAATATATTAGATAATAAACTGCCCCTAAATGAGAGACGGGAGCCTTGCATCTGTTATAAGTGAATGACTTTTAGTGCAGACATCAGGAAATATGATAGCTCTCTGGGAAGGTTGCACAGAGAGCTTTTGATTTGTTTATTTTTATGGTATGTTTTGATCACATCATTGTGTCTGAACTCGTGGCTGGTGTGGTGTGTGTGTGTGTGTGTGTGTGTGTGCGCGCGCGCGTGCAGTGTGCACACATTTGCTGGTACATACACCAGCTTACACCTCTTTTTCTTTTCTTTTTTTTTCAAGGTGAAGATAGGCAACTTATTTTGAATTGCATTATGTGCTGTTCAGGTTACCTAAGCTTTGCTCACATTCCATGCTGGGCGTTGGCAGAACTAGAGTTCTCTGAGCAGATTTGTTCCATTCTTTAGAAAAAAAAAAAAATAATAGAAATTGCTTAAATGAGAAAAAGAAGCAAATATAAAGACTGAGTAACATAAAATAATAACAACAAGAGGTTTAGATTCAAACTAGATGTAATATTATGTGGTGATCCTCAACCAATTTAGATATGAAATTATTTTACATAGTATTTTAAATAATTTGAAGCAGCATAACTTTTTGTGCTAAATAGACTGAGCAATTTTCCTCCTTGAAAATATTTCCTTTTGAAACTTGTCTATATGTATCATGTTTTATTAAAATCTGCTTAAAATTTTAGATTTTTGCCTGTTTGTAAACTTGGCGTGCCTAATGGCAGATTGAACTATGAATAGATCCTTTGGTATCCTTTAATATCCTTTTTTAGTTCAGTAAATTAGTCATAATCATATTAGGTCATCACTATCTGAAATTACCAAAAAACAATTAGACAAACATGAATCAACAAGTTGTCCAGTTGAAATTACCAAAACCTTCTGTCAATTAAAATGTATGCTTATTAGATTAGCAACTTCTGTGCTAAAGAATAAACAATGGATTTCTTTAGTTGCTAAGTTTTATACAATGATAGAGTTAAATGTCATGATGCCTGAGAAGCTTAAACTCAAAAATAAGATACACTGTGAATTTGCTTTAAAAAAAATGGTGATACTTAAAAAGGGAAATCTGTCAGAATGCATATTTTTTTTCTTGGTTGGGTAATCAGAAAAACCCTGGGCTGATTTATTACCGTCTCTTTCTTGGTCATGTCATACTCCTGGCTCCCTGCAAATACAAACCTCTATAGTATTAGCTTATGTAAAGTTAAATTAAAAGGTAAATATGCTTCATAAAAAATTACAAAACACTGTATATCAGTAAATTTTGGGGTTTTGCAACACTGTTTTGAGTTGTACATGTCTTTGCTCCTTTTCTGTAAACTTGAAGTCAAAATTTACCTCTACAGAAAAGGCAATTTAAATTATTCTCAATCATCATTTCTGTATGTGACAATCTGAAGTATTAGCATTCGTTTATCAGCTTATAATTTAAGATATTGAAATATTTTCAGGAAATCTTTGGAAAGAGAAGATGTTGAAAAAATAATTGCAGATCAAGCAATTGCAGCAGGTAATAGAATTGTTGTAAATATATGTAATTAGGAATTAATTATAGAGGTAATTTTACCTGTGAACAAGTATTTTCTATGAGCAGAAAATATTTACCTGTAGAACTGATATTTTGTCCTAAAATATTTGTATTTATTTGTTGGTGACTTCCATTGTGAAGTGTTCAGAATTATGTATTGTATTAATATAAAGAATAACTCTTTCTTACTACATATTTTTGCTTGACCTAAATCATTTCCTCATCTTATGGTGTTTATTTGCTGAGAAGTAGATAAGGCTGCATAGGAAGCTGACTCATAGACATGTACATGCTTTGCTATTGAACTAAACTAAGCATTCCACGTTCATGCATGAAAAATTCTACTCAACAAAGTAACATAATTAATTTTTTCTCAGGTTGGAAGTCTTCATGGGAAAAAGGGCTAACAGTGTTCTCATATTAATAACAAGTAGATGGGTAATTTTGTCATTTCCAAATACTGTCCTTTCCGAAGTGTGAGTACATGGACCAACAGACTTAATCTTTCTATAAGTATAAGATACTAAGAATTTAATAGTGATGATGATGATGGTGATAGCTAACTTATATAGAGCCCTTCCTAGGAGCCAGGCACCATTCTAAACATAGCCTCCACACCTCATAACAGTGCCCTGAAGAGGTATGAACAGTGCTATGAACAGGACTGTTGTTTTTCGTAAGTCATCGGTGAGAAAAATGTCTTAAAAAAGTTTAAAGAATAAAGGAAGTTAGGGAAAAAGAAGTAGAAAGTAAATAATATTTTCCAAAGAAATACTCATATTCAGGTGACATTAAACAGCAAGAATGCTGTTTTGCTCAGGAAAAAAAGTTTCCTTTGTATCATCTTTAAAGAAAAATCACAAAATTCAGTTTCACAACCAGTGATGTTAAATTCATTCTTGTCTCTGACATTCATGCAGCTGGAGGCCCTCCAAGTGGGACGGTGCCTCTTCATCAAGATGTACAGGTTTTCTTTTGAACTAAAGGTGGGAGAGCTTTCTCTGAAATGAATTTGGTCCCATAATTCCAGTTGTTCTTTTAGAGTTTAAAGGAAACAAAAAGTTATGTGTTATACTCCATTGATCATTCTTTTTTAATTAACTGATTGGGAATTTTTATTTGGAGTTACCAGAATTTTAGAAACTAATCTGTGTATAAAATTTGAATATAGGTGGTTAATTTTGGTTGGAAAGAACTCCTGTTAGCAGACAGAAGGAAACTAAATCATCAGATAAAACAATGTTAAACAGAGCAGTTAGAGCACAGCTCTACCAAGGTGATGTATGTGATACGGCAGAAAACGTGTCCTATGCTTTCAGGAGTTCCAGTGGAGATTATCACAGAATCTCTCGGTGAAGAGCTTTTTCAAATCTGTTACGAGGAAGATGAACATATCCTTGGTGTGGTCGGAGGGACCCTCAAAGATTTTTTGAATAGCTTCAGCACCCTCCTGAAACAAAGCAGCCACTGTCAAGGAGCAGAAAAGAAAGGCAGGTTTGAGGACGCTTCCATTCTATGCCTGGATAAAGATCATGATTTCTTAAATGTTTACTATTTCTTCCCTAAACGAATCACATCCCTGATTCTTCCTGGCATCATCAAGGCAGCTGCTCACATACTCTACGAAACCGAAGTGGAAGTGTCCTTAACACCTCCGTGCTTCCAGAGTGACTGCAGCGAGTTTGTTAACCAGCCTTACTTGTTATACTCCCTTCACGTCAAGAGCAGCCGGCCGTCCCTGTCCCCAGGCAAGCCCCAGTCCTCGCTGGTGATCCCCGCACCTTAATTCCTTTCTGTGGACTGTTGATTAAGTGACTTGAAAAGCAGAACAACAATATATTAGATAATAAACTGCCCCTAAATGAGAGACGGGAGCCTTGCACCTGTTATAAGTGAATGACTTTTAGTGCAGACATCAGGAAATATGATAGCTCTCTGGGAAGGTTGCACAGAGAGCTTTTGATTTGTTTATTTTTATGGTATGTTTTGATCACATCATTGTGTCTGAACTCGTGGCTGGTGTGGGGTGTGTGTGTGTGTGTGTGTGTGTGCGCGCGCGCGCGCAGTGTGCACACATTTGCTGGTACATACACCAGCTTACACCTCTTTTTCTTTTCTTTTTTTTTCAAGGTGAAGATAGGCAACTTATTTTGAATTGCATTATGTGCTGTTCAGGTTACCTAAGCTTTGCTCACATTCCATGCTGGGCGTTGGCAGAACTAGAGTTCTCTGAGCAGATTTGTTCCATTCTTTAGAAAAAAAAAAAAAATAATAGAAATTGCTTAAATGAGAAAAAGAAGCAAATATAAAGACTGAGTAACATAAAATAATAACAAGAGGTTTAGATTCAAACTAGATGTAATATTATGTGGTGATCCTCAACCAATTTAGATATGAAATTATTTTACATAGTATTTTAAATAATTTGAAGCAGCATAACTTTTTGTGCTAAATAGACTGAGCAATTTTCCTCCTTGAAAATATTTCCTTTTGAAACTTGTCTATATGTATCATGTTTTATTAAAATCTGCTTAAAATTTTAGATTTTTGCCTGTTTGTAAACTTGGCGTGCCTAATGGCAGATTGAACTATGAATAGATCCTTTGGTATCCTTTAATATCCTTTTTTAGTTCAGTAAATTAGTCATAATCATATTAGGTCATCACTATCTGAAATTACCAAAAAACAATTAGACAAACATGAATCAACAAGTTGTCCAGTTGAAATTACCAAAACCTTCTGTCAATTAAAATGTATGCTATTAGATTAGCAACTTCTGTGCTAAAGAATAAACAATGGATTTCTTTAGTTGCTAAGTTTTATACAATGATAGAGTTAAATGTCATGATGCCTGAGAAGCTTAAACTCAAAAATAAGATACACTGTGAATTTGCTTTAAAAAAAAATGGTGATACTTAAAAAGGGAAATCTGTCAGAATGCATATTTTTTTTCTTGGTTGGGTAATCAGAAAAACCCTGGGCTGATTTATTACCGTCTCTTTCTTGGTCATGTCATACCCCTGGCTCCCTGCAAATACAAACCTCTATAGTATTAGCTTATGTAAAGTTAAATTAAAAGGTAAATATGCTTCATAAAAAATTACAAAACACTGTATATCAGTAAATTTTGGGGTTTTGCAACACTGTTTTGAGTTGTACATGTCTTTGCTCCTTTTCTGTAAACTTGAAGTCAAAATTTACCTCTACAGAAAAGGCAATTTAAATTATTCTCAATCATCATTTCTGTATGTGACAATCTGAAGTATTAGCATTCGTTTATCAGCTTATAATTTAAGATATTGAAATATTTTCAGGAAATCTTTGGAAAGAGAAGATGTTGAAAAAATAATTGCAGATCAAGCAATTGCAGCAGGTAATAGAATTGTTGTAAATATATGTAATTAGGAATTAATTATAGAGGTAATTTTACCTGTGAACAAGTATTTTCTATGAGCAGAAAATATTTACCTGTAGAACTGATATTTTGTCCTAAAATATTTGTATTTATTTGTTGGTGACTTCCATTGTGAAGTGTTCAGAATTATGTATTGTATTAATATAAAGAATAACTCTTTCTTACTACATATTTTTGCTTGACCTAAATCATTTCCTCATCTTATGGTGTTTATTTGCTGAGAAGTAGATAAGGCTGCATAGGAAGCTGACTCATAGACATGTACATGCTTTGCTATTGAACTAAACTAAGCATTCCACGTTCATGCATGAAAAATTCTACTCAACAAAGTAACATAATTAATTTTTTCCCAGGTTGGAAGTCTTCATGGGAAAAAGGGCTAACAGTGTTCTCATATTAATAACAAGTAGATGGGTAATTTTGTCATTTCCAAATACTGTCCTTTCCGAAGTGTGAGTACATGGACCAACAGACTTAATCTTTCTATAAGTATAAGATACTAAGAATTTAATAGTGATGATGATGATGGTGATAGCTAACTTATACCGAGCCCTTCCTAGGAGCCAGGCACCATTCTAAACATAGCCTCCACACCTCATAACAGTGCCCTGAAGAGGTATGAACAGTGCTATGAACAGGACTGTTGTTTTTCGTAAGTCATCGGTGAGAAAAATGTCTTAAAAAAGTTTAAAGAATAAAGGAAGTTAGGGAAAAAGAAGTTGTAGAAAGTAAATAATATTTTCCAAAGAAATACTCATATTCAGGTGACATTAAACAGCAAGAATGCTGTTTTGCTCAGGAAAAAAAGTTTCCTTTGTATCATCTTTAAAGAAAAATCACAAAATTCAGTTTCACAACCAGTGATGTTAAATTCATTCTTGTCTCTGACATTCATGCAGCTGGAGGCCCTCCAAGTGGGACGGTGCCTCTTCATCAAGATGTACAGGTTTTCTTTTGAACTAAAGGTGGGAGAGCTTTCTCTGAAATGAATTTGGTCCCATAATTCCAGTTGTTCTTTTAGAGTTTAAAGGAAACAAAAAGTTATGTGTTATACTCCATTGATCATTCTTTTTTAATTAACTGATTGGGAATTTTTATTTGGAGTTACCAGAATTTTAGAAACTAATCTGTGTATAAAATTTGAATATAGGTGGTTGATTTTGGTTGGAAAGAACTCCTGTTAGCAGACAGAAGGAAACTAAATCATCAGATAAAACAATGTTAAACAGAGCAGTTAGAGCACAGCTCTACCAAGGTGATGTATGTGATACGGCAGAAAACGTGTCCTATGCTTTCAGGAGTTCCAGTGGAGATTATCACAGAATCTCTCGGTGAAGAGCTTTTTCAAATCTGTTACGAGGAAGATGAACACATCCTTGGTGTGGTCGGAGGGACCCTCAAAGATTTTTTGAATAGCTTCAGCACCCTCCTGAAACAAAGCAGCCACTGTCAAGGAGCAGAAAAGAAAGGCAGGTTTGAGGACGCTTCCATTCTATGCCTGGATAAAGATCATGATTTCTTAAATGTTTACTATTTCTTCCCTAAACGAATCACATCCCTGATTCTTCCTGGCATCATCAAGGCAGCTGCTCACATACTCTACGAAACCGAAGTGGAAGTGTCCTTAACACCTCCGTGCTTCCAGAGTGACTGCAGCGAGTTTGTTAACCAGCCTTACTTGTTATACTCCCTTCACGTCAAGAGCAGCCGGCCGTCCCTGTCCCCAGGCAAGCCCCAGTCCTCGCTGGTGATCCCCGCTTCCCTCTTCTGTAAGACGTTTCCTTTCCATTTCATGTTTGACAAGGATCTCACGATCCTGCAATTGGGCAATGGCATTAGAAGACTGACGAACAGGAGAGACTTTCAAGGAAAGCTCAACTTTGAAGAGTACTTTGAAATTCTGACTCCCAAAATCAGCCAAACATTTAGTGGCATCATGACCACGTTGAATATGCAGTTCGTTGTCCGAGTGAGGAGATGGGACACCTCTGTGAAGAGATCTTCAAGGGTGAGGAGAACATAAGAGTATTTTGAATGTGAAATAAATGATTTTGTATTTAAGGACTAGAGACAAAAAAGGTAAAAATAGGTTTATTGCTTCAAAGGTTTTGATAAAACATAAGTTCAAAACAATTCCAATGTAATTTTAAGCTGAAATAGATTTAAAACAAAATCGTTTCTGGATTTGTTTGATTGCTTGATTCATTACTTCACAAATACTTATTGAATGCAGTCTATCCTTTAAAATCTTTTCAGAATATCTTATGACTGAATGAAATAAATATTTGTTTAAAAGCATATTTTCAATCATTATCTAATTGCTGACTCAGTGTGGAGTAATAGGAGGAATCATTCTGGAGCAAACAAACCAAAATTACCTGTTTCCTCTAAGAGACACCCAAATGGATCTTAAAACCAGTGTATAGATACAGAAAGTCAATAACTCGTTTAATTACTAGGGAATGTGTGGGGAAGTGTTCTGTCACCTCATGGTAGAGAACTTTGGTACTTATTTAGCCTAAGGAAAGGAGCTTTGCTAAATCACACTTGATAGTACAAGCGAGGCTAATGAGGGGCTGATGTTGCATGTAACTTTGAGACATGCATGACCTCAGCAGGCATGCAGTTTTTTACCAAAAACTAGAACAGCCTTATTACTTTTTATCATAAAGATAATATAGCTAAATGTTTACAAAATAGGTTAATGCTTAATAATGTTTATTAAAGCAGAAAATCAAAAACATTAGTTACATAGATTTTGTTTTAAAAGAAAAAACACTGTTTACAACTTCGTTTTATCACTGAACAATCTATTTTGTGTATTCGTCCATGTCATTAGCTATATCTCTTTCCATTTTTCATAGGTTGTGTACAATTGCACTGTATAGCTGTTCCCTACTTTATTTAACCAGTCCCTTATTGAAGGATATTTGGGTGGCTTTTGACTCTGCCACAGTGAACGTACATATACATGTTTGTGCACATTTGCACAAGTAAATCTTGTGACCCAGTATAATCACCTGAAGCCTCACCTCTTTTGAGGCTCTCTTAGTATGATCCTTTCTGCTAGCTGCTACTGTCAAAGTAGCATAATAACAAAGGCATCAGCATGTCACTTACTGAGAAAGCCCCGAAACAGGAATTAGTGCACTGTTCATTGAAAATCATGATTTCCGTGTAGTGTGTACACCAACATGTCCTTCAAATGCCTGCATGCATCATTAGAATTCATAGTAAATTGGAACTATAAGAAAGCTTGTTCTTTTTCAGCACATAGAAAAAATCAAGTTTAAGTACAAAGGGATTATCACTGTATGTACTTCCTCTCCTTTTGTCTCAGAAAGATGGTGGAAACTTGAGTAAACCACAACTGGTTCACCTTTGCTTCACAGGTCATGGACCTCAAGGGCCAAATGATCTACATAGTTGAGTCCAGTGCAATCTTGTTCTTGGGGTCACCCTGTGTGGACAGATTGGAAGATTTTACAGGACGGGGTCTCTACCTCTCAGACATCCCAATTCACAACGCCCTGAGGGATGTCGTGTTGATAGGCGAACAGGCCAGAGCTCAAGATGGCCTGAAGAAGAGGCTGGGCAAGCTGAAAGCCACCCTTGAACAAGCCCACGGAGCCCTGGAGGAGGAGAAGAAGAAGACTGTTGACCTCCTGTGCTCCATATTCCCCGGCGAGGTGGCGCAGCAGCTGTGGCAAGGGCAGGCTGTGCAAGCCAAGGAGTTCCGCAGCGTGACCATGCTCTTCTCAGACATCGTTGGGTTCACGGCCATCTGCGCCCAGTGCTCACCGCTGCAGGTCATCACCATGCTCAACGCGCTCTACACTCGCTTCGACCGCCAGTGCGGACAGCTGGATGTCTACAAGGTAGGGGCAGAGAGGGCAAGGCCCCTCTTAACAGGCAAAGTCCCTGAGAAAAAGCACAGCCACTAGGACCGGAGTAATAATGCAGACAAAAAGCTTTCTCTGTAGGGCTATGCAAGCCACATCCTGGGAGCAGGCAGAATGCATTAATCATGTGGGTGTTCTCCAGCCAGAAATAGATCTGAATCTGCTCAGCAACAGAGATAATTACCCCATGAAAGGACGGCCACATTGTCTTCTCAAAGAATAAGCACAGAATAGGGGGTGATAGACTGGGTGGAGAATGGGGTGTAGGACCCAGTAAAAGTCAGCATGGCTGACACTTGACAGTGGAAACTGAGTTACATCATTAAGCATGCGATAATTCCAAGTATGACTTGTACAAGGAAAATTTATTCTTTGTATCTGTAAAAGTAAAAAAAATAAGTGTTTTACAAATGAGTGTTTTACAAATGAATTGTCTTTAAATAGATGAAATTCAATACAGAGTTAACGTGATACGTTTCATGGCCGGTTAACAGACGTCCAAGTCACCTATGTGAGGCATTAACGTAGAGAGGCCCAAGGCAGAGACATCTGAACAAGAGATGTCTTCAAATCTTGTTCTCTACTTGCTTTGGAAGCTGAAAAAGTTAAATAACCTTTCTCATGTCTAAAACAGAGAAAAGAATACCTACCCATAGTTTGTATACATGCATAGCATGCATTGTGTCCCATTATCTCCATGGACAGGACTGTTATAAAGGTCATGGTGAATAAAACCGTATTCACCAGGCAGCAGGCTGCTGAGTTCCTCCAGGAACAGGCATCATTCTAGGCACTGGGGATACATGGGGGATTGTCCCTGACACAAAACAAAACTTTGTTTTTTTAGTGTAACTCTTATCACTAAGAGAACTAATGAAGAGATTTTGTGTTCTGTCTGTTTCTCTAGAATTAAAACATTTTTTTACTGATTGAAAGTATTTTGCATTGTTGTAGCTATTGGCATCCAGAATAAAGCATTCTTCTCGTCTGTCTGGCTTGAATCATCTTTTAATTTGCCACATAACAACGTGGCATTTCAGAGCTTAACCCAACATGAAATAAATAAATTTGGGAAGAAGAAACAAATATTATTTATGGGAATACACAAACTACTGTTTTGTTCCAATCTAAAAGCTAGAAATAAAACCTTCTTTTTAAAAATTACTAATACGAAATTCCAGACAGAGCCGCGATTCCTCTGGGGAAAAAAAAGAGGTCCATGTATAATTAGAGATAAAATAATTGGCTTCGGTTAGGTTAAGCTTGATGGCCTTTTGTGGAATTTATTTATTTATTTATTTAGTTTGTGAACAGTTTCTATCTTGAGAATGTCTTCTCTCTCAGAATTGTGAGATCCGGGGAGTCTTGCTTTCCTTTGCAAACTGCTGTGCTGGCTAGCAGAAGAAGTAGCCCTTTTCTACATCAGCTTATTGAAACTTTAAAAAAACCTGGTTATTCCTATCAAGCATTTAGAATCTATATCCCATATTATAAGGACGGTAGCCAAAGAGTTTCCTAACTAACCCAATTACCACTGGAGTTAGATAACAAATCACCTTCTCTACCAGTCCTTAATTCCACCTTCTCTTCACTTCGGATTTGGCATGAAAATACCTGGAGACAGCTGCAAGTAAATATGGAAGAGTATTAGCTATGGAATCAGTTTAAGATATACAGAACATATAATCATAGGCTAATCTATGAGTGTGACAGCTTCTAGGGAATAGTCAAACTTTTCCATTTCAGGACCTGTTTGTGCTGGGACTTTATATAATTTACCTTCTTGATGTCTTTCAGTCTTTTGGTCATTTTTCAGTTTATTTCAGTATCAGCTTATCCATTGTTTTAGGAAATAGTTACTGGTCATCCAGCATTTACCAGCATGAGTGGGCATAAACCTTGTAGGAAATTTTCACAGCTCAGGAGGAGAAGGGAGGCAAGATTGACAATTCCAGATTTCCATATGACCTAACAAATGTTCACTTCTACTCACTTCTGTAGAAGGTGCTACCATGCACAGAGAATAGACATCTAACACCAAGCAGGGGTGAAGTACCACTCCTAATTAGCAGCGCTTGCGGAGCACCTGTATTATGTTAACCATTACATTCAGCACTTCTGTTTTCACTGCTGAGGAAAAGTGTATAGGAGACATTGGTATCTGGCTCATTCATTAGCAAATATGCCAGGCACTGGTGAGAGCTTATGTTCTGCAGGGGAAAAGAAGGACAATAAACAACTGAGTACACTTAAAATATTTCAGTTGATGTAACATTCTGGTTAAGCTTAAGCGGGGAGAAGTGCAAAGGGTGAGGGGTGGGTGATAGCCGTTTCGTAGAGGGTGGTTGGGATAGGCCTTTCTCAAATGGCGATGTTTCAGCAGGGCCTGAAGGAAATGAGGGACAAGCCACGTGGTTACCTGCAGGGAGATTGTAAGTAGAAGCATGTCTAGTATCAGGAGCCAGTGGCCTCGAGACAAAGTGACAAGAGGGAAAATCAGGAAATAAAGTCAGGGATTTATCTTCCTTTCCTTTCTCTTTTCTCACCTCCATTCCCTCCGTGCTAGCTCTGTAAGAAGGGGGATATGATGTGATAGCTTACAATAAATATTTAAAAGAAAAGAAAAATGCAATGATCTGGTGCAAAAATTCATGGATTGAACTGTTAGCTTTCTGTAGTCAGCATCACAGATAGGTGAAAATCACCTGTAACAATAGCAATAATGACAATGATAATAATTATACTTGGAATTTATGTACTAGCTTGATTTCTGAAAGTCTTCCAGATACCACTGTTCCTATCTTCTGGGCTGACATGTTGATTTCTATACTTTGTGATTAAGTGATACAGTTGCTAAGAGAACCCCAAAATCCTTTTGATAAAACTAAAATATCTTAGTTTTACATTGCATGTTCTACTAAATTCATAAGACATCAATGGATAATGACTTCGTAACACTCATTTTTCATGGTAAAAAAGGGTAAAATGATATAGTAAGTCAGTAGCAAATCTGGGAGCAAAACCACCCCGATAGTGGGGTCACAGGACTGCACTGAGACTTCTGCTGTAAGATGTATGCTATACATCTTCCTGAGCTTTTATTTCTAATACAGAAAATCTGTTATGTGTAGGTGGAGACCATTGGTGATGCGTACTGTGTGGCCGGGGGATTACACAAAGAAAGTGATACGCATGCCGTTCAGATAGCGCTGATGGCCCTGAAGATGATGGAGCTCTCCAGTGAAGTTGTGTCTCCCCATGGAGAACCTATCAAGGTAAAGCAGATCATACACTGTCCAGGGGCTGCCATGAGAGTAAATGCTCATTAGTTATCAAAAGAATAGTGTATCAGGCAAGGCTTAGTTGCAGAGAGCAAAATCTCTTTAGCTAGTTTAAGGAGGAAGAAGTTTACACTAGGGTATTAAAGGTTTACAGAATCACTGAAAGGACTGAATTAGCCATCTACAAATTAAACTTTCAAAAAACGGTGCACAAAGCTGCACCTCAGAACCACTGCTTTTTCTGTGACCAGGAAGCTGGCTGCAGAACTACACCACCACAGCCTCAGGCGCGCAACCTTTGTGTTCAGAAAGCTGCCGCCTCTACTACTGGCTACAGAATGGAACGGCTCCTCCTATAATTTGAATCAGCAGCATGGAAATCTTGCATCGTGACCTTTACAGGAGTGACTAGCAACTGGGCTCTCTTCGCGAACCACAGAAAACCTAAAGGCTTCCGTAGTTGTGCTTCCGCTTGAGAGCCACAGAAAGGCAGTCATGGCAGAAATCCTGGCTTCCTACTCTCAAGTGTGTAATGCAGCTGTAACAAATTTAAATGCGTCTAGAAAGTGCAAAAGAGTGTGGAAAAATGTACTTTTAGTTTTCCAATCTCTGCAGGAGAGGATGTTACACTCGAATGAAGGTTGCCTGCTAATCCACCAATATTTTCCAAGGCACATAACATTTTAAAATTTCTAGATGGGCCAGATCCCAGAATACTGTCTTATTGCAGATGAGAAAAATAAAATTAACATGCTAGGCATTAGTTTAAAAGATCGAATCTGAGCAGACTACCTTTATTTGTCTCACTTGTAGTAAATATGTCAGTTTTTATAGAACAGTCCTCCATTGATGACCTTCAGAATTAGGCCTTTGAAGTAATATAGAATCCTACCTAGTATGCTGTAAAACATAGTGAAGAAAGAAAATATAGAGAAAAAAATAGAAAAAGAAAAAATTATTTTTAAAAACCAAACTGCAACACTTAAAAGTTTAGCGTAGGCTCTCTTCGTAATGGAAGCCACATGTCTGAGCCTTCACAACTGTTTTCTAAGCAACTGTCACCCCTATTGCTTATTGCTGTGTGACACATTTCCTCAAATTTAGTGGTATAAAACCACAAACCTTTTATCATTCATGGATTCTGTACACCAGGAATTTGGGTGAGGCACAGCAGGGATGCATTGTCTTTGCTGCACAATATCTGGGACCTCAGTTTGGGCATGTGTGGAATACTTGGGACTGCACCCCTTGGAGCTGGAGGACCTCTTCTGAGATGGCTACATCTGTTACATGCCTGGTTCCTTGGTGCAGAGGGCTGAAAGGTCGGGCTCGGCTGGGACTCCTCGCCCACGTGCTGTCATATCATGTCCCAGCACGGCAGCCTCAGAGTAGTCATGCTTCTTACATGGTGATTCATGTCCCAGTGAGCAAGACTGATGGATGCTATATGGCCTTTTATGATCCTAGCCTCAAGAGACACACAGCGACGCTTCCTTTATATTCTGTTGGTCAGAGCGATCATAACCTTGCCCAGAGGAGTGGAGACTCCACATCCCAAAGGGAAGAGTGTGAAATAATCTGTGACTTGACTGTGTTTTAAAAGCATAATGGCATCTGACTTTTCCAAACTTAATGTCCATAATTGTACCTTTATAGAGGAGAATTGTGTATTTATTTCTCTCTCTCTCTCTTTTTATTTTTATTTTTGTCAAGGAACTCATATCATCAAAGGACATATTTTAAATGTCCAGATCAACAATAAACCCAGTAATTTCCACATAAATGGATTTTGTAATTAAGATGCATATGTTTGGGGGAGGGAATTTGGTGGTATGATTGTCATTATCAGTAGAAATGTATTTTCAGAGTTTTTCAGTTGGAAGAATTAATTTGAGCTAGTTTCAAAGATAATTTCCTAGGTAATAATAGTTTAATTTTAATGACCTATAAAGTGAGATGTTAAGCATACCTGTACTAACCTGTAATTCTAGAAAATATCCAATGACCTTGGGAGCTACCCATGAAATATCAAAGAAGCAGAAAGGAAGAGTATTTTTAGTAGAGAAAGAAACATTCACGTGTCTCAGAGGAGGCCTATTGTGACTTAAACATTGTCTCATTTGATCTTTGTAACAGCATTATGGGGCAGAACCCCCAGCTCACTGACAGACCAGAGCAGTCAAGTCTCATGCATAAGGATTTCGAGTCACATTTCTCTGGCTTCAGCGCCCAGACTTGCTATCCTTACCCTGCTTACCCCATGGGATGGAATCAAGATGAAGGAATAGGAAATAATTTCCTTTAATTTCAAACTGTATTTTTCTTCAACATAGCATATGTAAAAATCATCTATCCACTCATTTGTACTGATTTCCTTACTAACATCCACCCACTTAGGCTTAGAAGATTGCTGGGCGGGCTGAGGGTGGAGACCAGAAAACTGAATTAGCAGTGGGAGTTAGCAAAATGTGCAGCAAACTTGGAAACCAAACTCTGGTACCCCTGTGCCTATGCCCAGATGCCTGTGATGAGAGGTGGGTTCTGTCCACAGTGTCCCCCAAATGGAAGACTCCCCCAGCAGGTTTCTATTTAGAGCACAGCGTACATCTTTAACTTTGAGTCACTTTCTCATTTGCGGGTTTGAAAAAGGTACCTGATATGAAAGCTTTGATTTGACAGTGAGATTCAGAACTGGAGAAGAGGAGGGAGGGAGAGCGGCCTGGGAAGAGCCAAGGAATGTTTGCTTTATCTCTGTTTGGATATTTTTTATGAGGAAAACGTATTTATTTATTAGCTATGAAATAGAAAAATAAAAATGCTATGTGAAATTTATCAGAGAAAAATCTGCAGTAACTAAACACAAACAAGAAATTGGTTTAACCAAAAGACTGCCCAAAGAGAGCAAACATTCCTCCTACTAGATGTGATAAAATTGTGCCTGATATTTATATACAGCATTGTATATAGTCTTTTGTTCATATTGTTTAGTCATTATATGCGTAAAACTATATTCTCCTAAAGAAGAAAAGACCAGATGGAATTGATACCTAAGTTTCACTACTTGAAGTAAAATTAACAAGGAAGAGACTTTAAAAATAATCCAATCCAGTATTTTACAGATGAAGAAATAGTAAGAGGGAACTAAAGAGACTTACAGAAAGTCAGACTACCAGTTATTCGCAGGGTTTGATTTGGAATGCAAATCTCCTGATTCACAGCACAGTACTTCTGTTTGAATATTCTGAAGACTTCATGATTTGACATCTTATAAGCAAATGATTCTGGAAAGGTTTTAGCAGACCTCTGAAAACAACTGTAAAAGCAAAATCGAAGTCCTCTGAACCCTAACTTACATTTAGTTCCTGAGTACTTGGCCTTGGTTTAAAATGTACATATATCTACTAAAACTTTTTTTAAATAGTCACCTGAGCTGGCAAATAATGAACATGAGTTTGATTGCCATTCCACGTTTCCCTACTTGACCTTGCTTTCTTGTAGCAGTAATTTAAGAACGGTGCCTCCTCTAAGGTCATCAAGTGTTCAGATCTCCTAGAAGATCCCACTTCAAAATATTCTTAGTTGTTCCAATCATTGGTGACTTTCAGAATTCCTAAACATTTACCCCAACATATCCCAGACTGTCTCTTATATCCAGACCATAGTGCAACTCTGGTTTGCCATGGGTCCAGATGTTTTTAACAAAAGTGTTTATGTTCACATAATCTGGGCCTAAGAAACTCTAGCTTGCTGCTTCCTCTGTCATTTTCTGCTTAAATATTACCATTCCTTTATCCAGTTGTTAGTCATTTGAATAGCAGTGTAGTGTTTGGATAAAGTTCTTTTGAAACAAAATGCCTAACAACCTACATTTTCTATTCTGAGACTTGCTTCTTTTCCTCCTTTCTGACAGTATTTTGGGAAACAACTGGAGTCAAGAAATCATGTCTGTCTCACTTGATGGACAGAGCAGGTTCACATTAACATCCCGTAGACACTTGGTCCTGTCACTGTGGTGACTGTGACAGGTATGCCTGGAAATTCGTTTCAGATGTTGAACATAGGTACAATGAAGATGCTTTTTGTGTAATAAACTCAAGTGCATAAATGGAGAAGAACTAAGAAGTGTGACTGATTTTGCACCAGTAGTTTTTTAATTAAATGTGAGTAGAGGGAAGCTGTCTGGAGGTTTTGAGAGGAAGGAAGGAGTGGTGTGGTGAGACCAAATGGTAAAATAATTTATAGACTGGGCCTTCAAACAATTCCAGCAAGTGGGAAGTGTCTTACCAATTATCTGGAATGTTGCATTACTTTTTGCTTTCAGATGCGAATTGGACTGCATTCTGGGTCGGTTTTTGCAGGCGTGGTTGGAGTTAAAATGCCCCGTTACTGTCTTTTTGGGAACAACGTCACCTTGGCTAACAAATTTGAGTCTTGCAGCGTACCACGGAAAATCAATGTCAGTCCCACGACCTACAGGTATGAACTGTGCTCAACACTTGACTTCTAATATTTGTATTTATACACAGTTGTCACTTTTTTCCCCATTGGTTTGTCATTCTCCGCAACTCTTTTCTTGCTCAGACAATGTTGAAGGGGAAAACAATAACTTTTATCATTCTCCCTCTAACTTTTTTAAAACTGTTCATTAGTGTCAGGAGAAAAACTCCCCTGAGTTATTTGTAGCACAGGTGTAATCCTTGGCACACATCCTATCTTCTCCCCATTATTATTCTTTACGAAGAATGTGTTACTGCTCTCCATATTTGCATAGGCATTCTGACACCAGCTAGTGTACTGCAGTATGGTTCTGACACTGGCTGCCGGGAGTAAGCACCTACCCCACAAGTTATAGGCTGGTCCCCAACATGCCCTTAATTCAGGTGTCAGACACATTACATTGTATCTCATTTTAAAAATCTCATTACAGTGGACACCCTTGAATAACAAAGTTTTCCATATTTATGTGGTAGTTAACTTACACCAAGCAAGTTGTCTTCTCAGAGACAACTGTTTTACAGTATCTTCTTCCTTTTTAAAACTCCAACAGGCTTTTCCTTTTCAGCCCTGACTCTAAGTTATAACCTCATGTCATATTGCACAGGGGAAACAAAGGCAGCCAGGTAAGTGCTATGCCACCTTCATGCCACAGGTGCCAGCAGCATCGCTGCTCTGGTGTCCTGGACCCAGGCCTCCGTTTCTGTTCCAGCAGCCTGCTGCCCTTCTTCTTAGAGTTGTCTAGCTCACTGTCTGTGCTTTACCGCCCCCCTGTCCTCCCTCCAGCTCTCTGCAGGCAGCGCTTGTCTCTGGCACCCCACTGAGATGCCTCTCTTCGGTCATCGTTGTACCTTGCTCATATCGTGGCCAGTTCTCTCTCACCTCCCTCAACATCTCAGGGCCAGTTGAATAGCTCAGGCACCCTTTCTTGTAACACATTCTTCTTTGGGCTTTCCTGACACCGCACGGCCCTGGTCTCCTCATGGCCTCAGCTTCCCCGGTCTTCCTCGATAGTCTTTCCCAAGCCAACCTTTGAATGAGGTAGCACTCAGAGTTCAGTCACTGTTCACACCTGTATATGAACTTTTAGGATACATTTTTTTGTAATCTCTAGCCTACCCCATGATTCCCTATTGGGCTACAAACTAGTATATCCTATTCTCTGTTGTACTTGGATGACCAACTTAATTAAAATTAACATGATCCCATTAGAGCAGTGAGTTTCCACACACACCAACCTGATGAAACCTACTTTCCTCCCACCCAAGCTTTATCTTTAAAATGGTGCCACCGTCTACCTGACTGCTTAGACTCCCAGCCTCAGGGTGATCACACCTTTCTCCCCCGAGCAGCCCATCACCTCCACCTATGGGTCACCTCCTGAGCACAGCTTTCCCACCTCCCTCAGTCCTGCATCCCAGAGCGAGCTACACGTCTCTCTCCATCTGAACCACCCCAGCATCGTCCTTACTCCTCTCCCTGCTCGGCTTTCTCACGCGCCTCTCCCACACAACAGCCAGATGACCTGTTTAAGGACAAACAAGACCTGTCCTTGCACTGAAAACTCACCAGTAGGTTCCCATTGCAGTCAGACTAAATTTAAACTTGTTGCCACAGGCTCAGAGGTGCTCTTTGATCAATGTCCTGCTGGCCTCTGCCATTTCATTTCCTTCCTCTTTCTCCTGCATTCACTGATTATTGTCTTGCCACCCTGGTCTCATTTTTATTCATCAAACTTACTAACCTAATTCCTGAATCAAAGATACTTGTTATCCTATGTATTCCTCCTCACAACTAGACCTTAAGTCAAACACCACCTGTTCAAAGAGAAAATCCTTGAGCATCTTGGCCAGAGGAACACCCTTCCCCTCACACACACTCACATTTTATTTCTTCATATTCTCAGCTCATACCTGTGTCTGAAAACGCTCTTTTCTGTTTGCGGCCCGCCTGCCCCGCAGAATGTCAGCCTCTTGTGGTTCACATGCTGTACCCTTGGTTCTCAGAATAGGAGAGCAATAAGTATTTGATTAACTGTTGACTCTTTGATATGAAAACGACCCACTATAGTATCAGAGTTGGAAAGGTCCCTGGGGATTGTCATAAGGCTGATCAACCTAATAGACTTTCCACGTATGCCAGGTAGGAATAAGAATAAGTGCCCTCAGAAGACGTGATCCCACTCTCTTTGGAGGATTTGAGCATAATTATCCTATGATAATAGGATATAAACATAATTATTCTATGATAATGTTACAAAGGAAAAATTTTGCTCTGCCCTTCAAGGTTCCTCTTGGAGGTCTAAGGATTGAATTTATGCGAGACAGATTAACAGGAGGAAATGAAATTTAATTTTGTTTGTGGAGGAACTCCACATACATGAGAGGTTCAAAGACCAAAAGAATGGTAAAATGAGGTCTGTGTGCCCTCCTGAGCTTAAGAATGGGAGAGGGGCCTGGGCCTGGGGGCCTTAGAGGGGAGGAGGCAGTGCACAAGGCATAAGAAGAGCCATGTTTGGTAATTAGATACTTGCCCTGCTACACAGATGGGACATTCAGATAAAGTTATCTCTGGTAATAGCTCTTTCTCTGTCAGGCCCCCATCTAAAGGCTTTTAGGTAGTTAGAGAGGTAGAAGCTTCTCTTTGCCCACAGGATCTCAATTGCCTTCAGTTCAAGTAGTCTGCATGCCACGCTGGCACTTGTGGGAGCTTGTTTTGCACCTCGTTAGTCACGGGAGTCAGTTCTAGGCCTTTCGTGGAACCTGTGCTGCTTTCTCAGGGTTCAGTGCATGCTGTCTGCACATGTGAGGAGTCCTGTGTGTATCTCTTTCCTTAAAATAAAACCTTTGCTCACAAAAAGTACATTTTTCTGTTCTTCTCTTTTACCTGTTTTTAATTGATTAGACCTTTCAAAATATTCTTTTGTTCCAATCAGAAAGTTACAAAGTAAATAAAAATAACTAATAATCTCACTACCCAGAAACAGTAACTGTTCATATTTTTTGTTTATTATTTCTTAGTATGTACTTATAGACACATATATGAATAATAATGAAAATTTAGTTTATATCAAACTTCAGTGCTTTTGCTAAAGTCATTTCTACCTTTTATAGGCATATATGGTACAGTTTATTATTTTTCTTTTCATATTGATTAGGGGGTTAATTTACTTCTTAAATAGGAAATATTAAGTCTTATCTAAATGGCAGGTGATAGTTAAAATGTTTTATTTAAGCAAGAAATAAATAATGTGTAATACCTTTAACTGTATTTTAAAATGCTTTCTTTTTAGAAATACTTTGTTTCCTGTATGACAGGAAAACTTAAAGGAAATAGATAATTTAAACTCTGTCAAAAGCCAATGCTTGTGAAATTGAATTAGTTGAATTATAAAATAGAGACAATTTCAGTTTTACTCAAAGTTCAGAACAAACAGTAGACTGTATTAGAAGTTGTACAAATATAAAGGATAATTATGTCTTTGGAGGCTTTATTGGTAGTACATTCTATTCTTGGATGGCATTTCTCAAAGAGTAAAATAACATCAAGTGCAGCTTCCTTGTTATATTTATGAAACACATGGAAATTTAGGACAATATATATCCCCACAAAAAAGTCCTTACCTTCAAAGTTCTACTTCCGATTATAATTAGTAATTTAGAATGAAGTTGCGTAATGACAATAATATATTCCTTTCTCTTGAACGACATGAAGGATTTTACTTTAATTTTAGGGGACCACTTTTTGCATTTTTGTTTGCTTTTACTGGAGTGCAGAGAAGAGGTTAGATTAGATATTGTTCAAGTTTCAGGTCAGTGGGTCAATGAGAGAGATTTATGTGGTCATCCAGGGATCAGTAACATCAAAAATGGCAGGTCGGGGCTATAAACGGATGCTGCCTAGTGTGAGTGAGTAAGTAGACCAAGGAACCCTTTTTTGGAAACGAGGTCTGAGAACATGTAAATTCTATGAGGGCAAAGAACAAAGAGAGTAAAGGGAATATAGGAGACATGACAAAAATAGGAGAGTAAATTAATACAGCAATTTGGAGGAAATGTATCTGATCAAGAGGGAGTCAAGAAAAGCTTCCCTATGTGAACATCTACACTGAGTCTGTCTTGCTTTCCATGGGACTTACTATCCTCAAGCTTTCATAGGAATGGCATTATTTTTTCTGACTCATTTTCCTTACAAATTCTGATCTTTTTAACAAGAATGATTTAATCAACATTCCTGACTCCATGACAGTCTAATTGCATTTACCTGTAAATTTCTTTAAAAAGCATAGGATTTGTATTCAGAAGACATGCCCTACAGTCCCAAATAGAAGGCTTACCAGACATGTGATCTTGAGCAAGGCACTTAATAAATTCAAATGATGTACTCCAAAGCCACTTTTAAATGCTGAGTATTTTTATATAAGTTTAAAATGTAAGATTATGATTGTAATTTACATATTTAATAGGAAATGTTGGGTTGATGTGAACAGGAAGATAAATTTGTTCATTTATCAATCACATATAGTTTTAATACATTCCCACTATTAAACCTTTATGGTTTTCTACATTTTGAAACTTAATTTTTAAGCATTTCAAATATACAGAAAAAAAAATCAAAGAAAATATGATACCCATGTACCCAATACTAATATTTAACAAATATCAACATTCTGCCATGTTTGTTTCAGATCGCTGTTTTATAAAAGGCCTCTGGCCTGTGCTCTCCTGGACTCCAGTCACCCTTAGGGTTTCTAGGAGCCGCTGAGAACATGTACTTCCTGCAAAAAGGCAGCCTTGCAAAGAGAGAAGGCAGGAGGCCCCTGAGTAGAGCAAGTTCAACAGTGTTACCCAAGAAGATTAGCACTTCTCTTAACCAGGAAGGAAAATGGGCAGAGAGAGGACAGAAGTGTACATCTCATTTATCTGGTTCTCCCAGATAGAAGAGAAAAGCCAGAGACAAATAGATTCCTGCTCAACCTGGTCTCTATCCTTTTACAACTTGCCTTAAATCCATTCAATATTAAGTTTTTGAGAACATTTTTATTGATGAATTGTAAATCTAGTTCATTTATTTAAGGTATTACTAAGTCAGTAGTGTGCTGATAAACCACCTTTGAGGGGTAGAGATGAAGTGAAGAATCCTTGATTTTTAGCATTTGCCAATTTCTATGGTGTAAATATTCCTACCGTGTCAGGATTCAAGCTACCAGTGGTTTGTTTAACTTCTTACAAAATCCCTGAATGTACACAATTGCCTCTCATAAGCCAATATGAACCAGATCTAACAGTTATTATATGTACGTGTGAAATAATAAATATTCTAGAGTATGAATAAGCCATGTTCTACTACCCATGGTTAAAGTATATCTAGTTCTTTATTATACAAAAAGTGATCTGATCAACATTCTCATACATATGTCTCTAGATAGTATAAACAATAGGTAGTTTTACAGGTCATAGGCTATATCCAGTTTCTGCTTTACTAAGCATTAATTTGCTGTCCAAATTGGCTTTACCGATCTGTATTCCACCAACAGTGTATGAAGGTTTCTGTTCTCCAAAGCCTGATATTATCAGACTTAGTGTTACCAATAAGATGGGTGTTAGTTGAAATCTAATTGATGTTAAATCTATCTTGCTTAGTCAATTTATTTAATCTTCACAACCATCCCAAGAAACAGGTACTGTTAAAAAGCTGGAAAACTGACATCTTTGCTATTTAAACCCAGATCTATCAGACTTTGAAGCTTCTACTTTCAATGCAGTGAAATTCTGTAACTTCTCATTCTGTATTACCAAATACTATGCCTTATAAATAAAAGGCACTGAAAAAGTTATGAATTCATGACTACAGCATCATTTCATTAGTTTTATTATTTTGCAGATTATATATTTATTAGTACACTGATCAAAGGTAGTTAATTGAATACTGACATGAATTCTACTCAAAGTCTGCCATTCTGGAGACCAAATTTCTAGTTAGTTGGTTCCTTCAGTACATAAAAGGGTATCACTGTACCAAAAATAGAATTCAGCACCATCATTCTAGTTCATTTAGACAAGACATTCCAGACTAGTGAGTAGAAGGCCCAGGGTCTAATTGGGCAGATATGATGAATATTTTTCTGTAGAAGTTGGTTTAGGCCCCAGAATTATCAACAGTTTCATCCACAATCTGAAAAATAGATTAGAGCGATGTTTATTAAGTTTGCATCTGACAGAGAGCTAGGGAAGCAAATGGAAAGAGGAGCCAGGAATTCAATCAGTAGGATTGGAATTTAATATGAGCTTAGTGTAATGGACAAGTAGTTAGTAGCAAATAATAAAATTTAGTGTAACAAATGAATTTCAGAAGAAAAAAATACCAGATAATAAGCAGAATGTCACTATGTACAATTAAATCTTATTTTAGCCTTACTAACCTAGAACTCATAAAAGTACTATTGAGAGATGCAAAAGTTATTCTCACATTATTATATATATACATATCTTATAGAATTTTTCTTTCACAACTTCTTACCCATGATTACTTCTCAATAATATTTATGAAATGAATGAATCAATAAATGGACAATTTCTTGCATCTTTGAACTTAGGAAGCCTTATTCTATAACATTGTGTTTATGTATGATTTTTTGACTATTACTATACTTTTAGATTGTTTTGAGTTATTTCCCACTACTGTGAATTGCACTGTTATATATATTATAGATCGTGTCTTTACAAAAATATTTTATAATTATTTTTCTAATATGAGTGAAACTCATTATTTGGTAGACTTTTTTTATAATTGTGAATGATTTTTCATTCTTCTTCTGTGAAGATCTTTGTTCGCATCATTAGGATCTTTTTGTCAATCACACTGAAAATGACTAGTTGGTTAATGCACACAGTCCCCAAAGTATAATGATTTAACTTAAAGTTTATCAATTTTATGATGATGTGAGAGTGATATGCACTCAATGGAAACCAGACTTGGAATTTTGAATTTTGATCTCTTCTGGGGTATGATAATGTGGTACAGTGTTCTTGTGGTCCTGGGCAGCAGCAGTGAGCCACAGCCCCCAGTCAGCTCTGTAATCATGAGGGTTAATAACCGATACACTTACATTCATCCTGTACTCGTGTTGTTTTCAGTACAGTATTCAATAAATACCATGAGGTATTCAACACTTTATTATAAAATAGGCTTTGTTAGATGATTTTGCCCAACTATGGGCTGATGTAAGTGTTCTTAGTATATTTAAGGTAGGCTGGGCTATCCTGTGATGTTTTGGTAGGCTAGGTGTATTGAATGTATTTTCAATTTATAATGGGTTTATGAGGATGTAACCCCATCATAAGGCAAGGAAGATCTTTATTCTCAGGAATGTTAATTTAGTTATGTTGTCTTTTCTTGAGTAGACAGTCATATCAGTACTAAATTTTAAAATTAATATTTTAATTTTAATCTTTTCAGATTACTCAAAGACTGCCCTGGTTTTGTATTTACCCCTCGATCAAGGGAGGAACTTCCACCAAACTTCCCCAGTGAAATTCCTGGAATCTGTCATTTTCTGGAAGCTTATCAACAAGGAACAAATTCAAAACCATGGTTCCAAAAGAAAGATGTGGAAGATGGCAGTGCCAATTTTTTAGGCAAAGCATCGGGAATAGATTAGCAAAATAAATACATGATCAGTAGGCTTTGGGGTTTGACTCCTTCGAGTATATGTGGAACCTCCGAAAGCACTTTAGGTTTGCAGATGGCTACAGAGCAGTATTAAAATTTCAGGAGCTAGTCACCATCTACTTTTCTTCCACTTAACATGACAAAAAAATGCATTTACTTCAACACTCAGACTGTTCGGTGGAGAAAAAAAAGAAAGAAATCTGAAAAAGTGACTTTTGGGAGACTTTGTTAATGTAACAATCACTTATTATCCATATTCAAAATTCGGCACATTGTACATATGTCAGGCAATTGTAGTGACCTATACAACCTGATGGAGTCACCTGTGGTCTCGTGCCTGGTGGAATGCCATGCTCATTAATGTGTATTTGTGATAGTATTGCCTTAAAAAAGCTGTTTGAATATAAATTATAGTGTTTGATGCCAGAAGCTCTCTAAACCTTTCAACTCTACATTTTATCACATTGCCTCATTTAACTGTCTGCTTATATAACAAAATAGATTGTTTTTTTCTCTGTTGCACTTTTTTCTTTTTTTAAGAAAATAAGCAATTATGGGTTAGATGCAATATGAATATAAAATAGTTCTATAAATATCAAAGATCATTTTATAACCATGGTCATCATAACAATAAATATTTCCTTTTGTTTGACTTTTTTTTTATAATTCTGCACATGGTAAAGGCGATTACCATTCATCTTAACAGCTTAATTCTATTAATTCACTTTTGTGTCAGAACATTCAGGATAAAAGAGGCTTGCAGCCTATAGTAAAATGCAGTATCATTCTAATTAAATTTAACCTGAAGCAGCATAGGAGTGAACTAAGCATCGATAGAGCATACCATAAAGTCCAGGTAAAACGTTACACACACACACACACAGACACACACACAGACACACACACACACACACACACACACACACAGTAACTTGGATTTCTTCCAGCAGTCATCCTTCATTGCCATGCTGAGCCATATAAAGTTCCAATAAGAAAATCTAAGTTCAGAAGTGGGAAATAAGACTTCTTTTTGCTTATAGCTTATTTTTAAGTATGCTGAACACTTTGATGTGTGTACATGTCCTAAGAATCATTAAGATGTTTTTATCTTATTAAGTACACATCTGTGATTTTTTTTTTTCTAATTGAAGTATCTCAATGATATTTTTAAAAGAAAATGTTAGTATTGATGAAGCAAACGATGCTGTGATTTCATTTGAAAATTCCTAAACATTTTTCTGAAACTTGAACTTTTATTTCTTAGGATGTTGATTTAATATCTCTGGTGAACTAAAGAACCTGCAGTTTGGTTTGGGATAAGGATTTGATTTTTAAAAGAGCTCAACTTCAAAGCAAGAGAAAGATGACCATTAGAATTTTCAAATCAGTATTAACAGAGGCATAGATACACTGAACTCTTACTTTGGGTTCAAGGAAGTAACTCAGTTTCAGAGTTCCTTAATTATCTCCAGTACCCCCCAGGATAGTGCATGGTGACCTCAGGAATAAAAAGTCATTACTGATTGGCCTCTAGACTTCCAAATGTACTACTACAGATGTGAAAATAGCTATTTGCTAAATGATACCTCAATGTTTTGAAAGATTGATTGTGTCTCACTAAATACCAATCCTATTATTGGAAAGTACCATAGGCTTTGGGAAAATACAGTTTCTCACAATTATATCAAGTTAATAAAAGTATTTAGAATGAAAATAAAGACTTAAATACATTTTTTTCCTTTTGGAGTTGAACTCTTATTACAGGGAAAATAATATGAATTAAAGGAAATTTTAAAAATATTTAAGAAATGTCATTATTAAATATTTAAGCAGACCCCAATTTGGTAATAATATGTGTTCTAAAAGTTCATACATTCATTAGAGTTCAAAAAATACTTTGTGTGTGTATGTGTGTGGAGGAAAATGTAAACAATCTGAGCAAAAGCTAATTTGGGAATTCCTTGTACTACTGCAATCATTCTATAAGTTTGAAATTTTATCTAAATACAAAGTTACCAAAAAATGTATTTTCCTAGAGAAATTAAATTATCTGTGAGAAGATTCCCTAGGCCAGCCTACAAAGTCTCATTGAATTGTGGTAGAGTTCATGGACCTTAGGCAAGAAAAATGCACATTTCCATGACAGAATGCACTCGAAATTCACAACTTGGATGCTAAAAAAGCTAATGAATTCCTTTTCCTTCTCTGTCTTATCCACTTTGGAGGCTAGAGCTTATGGAGACATTTTTAGTTCCAGACCATTGATGGTAGCCAGAGCCAGAGACCCTACAGGGTAAATTCTCAAGGAAAGTAAGAAACCAAAATAAAAGCTCTGCAGTTAGGAGTAGAATAGAGGATAGAGGAAGGAATGGACAGAGAGGCCCTGTGACAGGATTGAGGCCTAAGGGTTCTGAATCCTATTGCCGGTGTAACTAACCTAAAACATAATGTGGTGGCCCAAGTCTGCTTCTCTATCAGCCTGTCTGTTTTGATAATTCTACTGTTTCTTCTGTTCTGGTTTTATTGTTTCCATTCATGACTTGTTGTCTCCTTATTTTGTGTTCAGTACACAAAATAAATTCACTCTTCATACATATTCTCAAGCAGGCATAGAGTTCCACTGAAGTTTTCATCAAGAAGCAATGACAAGCGTAGAGTTAGAATATTTTTTCCAATCTCTCCTTATCTTTATATACCCATCTAGGCTTTTTAAGACTGTGCAAAGTTTGAACCTAAATACAAATTGATTCGTTTACTAACTTTATTTACTTACTCATCATTTATTGAATGACTAGTATGTGCCAAGAATAATGCTGTTTTTGGAATTTAAAGAGAAAGTATGGCCCATTCTATCAAGAAAGGAAAGTGGAAAATGAAAAGATAAATAACTACAGATTCTCTGGCAGCACAGAGTAGGAGACTCAGGGCTCAGAGAAGTCTCCTGGACTTGGAGGAATTCCCAAGCAGAGCAGTAAGGACATGATTCAAGGAAGCTGTACACACGAAGAAGTGGAGTCTTGGAAATGCAGAGTATATTCCAGACAGACAGTTGCCTGCGATGAGTTGGAGGTGAGAATCAAGACAGACTATTTGGACGTAAAGAGGGTTGTGTGTGATGATGATTATAATCATCATGATTTTGAATTTCTTGGAAAACTTTGCTCAAAAGAAATCTACGAAAGAAAGAAAAGCAAAACAGCAAAAAAAAAAAAAAAGATGGTTGATTTCAGCCTTCCTCCCTAGCAGCTTTAAAGTGACTAGACAAGGGAGACACCAAATGTTAAAGGAAGAAATGGTATAATCAGATATGTGTTCTTGAAAAGCACCGTCAGAAACAGCATAGTAAGGGTGGATATTTACTTGAACAGATGACTGAATAAACATTTTTGTTTGTCCGAAAGAAAACAACTCATGCTATATCCTGGGTGTGTTATTACTACGAGTATGAACATAAAACTGGGATGTCCGGCACTGGCGTTTCATATTACGCTCAAAGCCATTAACCTTTCAGATCCTTTGGTAGGAAGGAAGGAAGAGTTGCTTCAGCATTTTACTAACCTTTCCTGCAAATTACTTCTCCCTGATGTCGCCAATCACACCAAAGCAGACCCTGCCAGGCTGTCCTGTGTTAGGTTAGAAGAGTGGAACAGGTTGTTCTATGGTAGCCCTGGCAAGAGAAAGTAGATGAATGAAGGGAATGTCTACTCTCCATTGCAGCTGGGAAAAGACAAGACAAGGCCCCTGAGATTCCCTAGCTGAGAAAGTGCCAGAATGGAGCTTTAAGTGTAAAACCCCAAGGAAGTCTAAGATATAATAGAAGCCACATTCAAGTTCCTGTTTAAGCAATAGTTAATAGTCCCAAAGAGAATGGGGTAATGAATTATTGTAATTTTAAGTATACAGATTTTATTTGGATAAATCATTATTAATAAGTGAAAAGGAATCATACATATTTGTTGGGGTAGCTTGATCGGTCACTAACCTTCACTGAAACTCTTAACAAAAAGTTCCTTTTGTCTGATTATGCACTTTGGTGCTATTTCATTCTGTAGATGGCTACTTGAAAAGTTAAATGAAGGCAGATTTGGAGCGTGGAAGGACAGGGGATATGACACTTGTCAAGGTGGGAGGGCAGAGGGGGTTAGGCTAGAGGTGTCGCGATTCCTGTGAAGAAAGACTTCCCATCTCCCTCAAAACAAAAATTCAGTGCTGCAGAGATGATAGGCAAGTATAATTCCCTGCTTAAACACAACTAAAGGCAGGGACAGCTTGCTTGATTAAGCTGAGGACACCAAAATGTAATTTTAAGCCCAAGTTTGCAGTGTTAAAATATACATTCTTTGCTGGGATTCTTCCCAAAGTCTGGGAAATCTTTGTAGTCCTGGTGGTCAGGGCAAGAACCCCTCCTGCTGTGAAAGCCAGGAGCCTATGGAATTAATTAGTCCTTTGTGGCCTTCGATTCCCTTCTGCTCTTAGACTGTTTGCTAGATTTTAGATAAAGTATGGCTCCCCTTTAAATACTTGTTTTATTATGTTGATGATGTGCATTCATTTGGTATTCTTACTGTAAGCCACTTCAAATATTTTGCATTTTATTGTCTGTATTTTTCTCATGAAGCAGTTTCACTCTTAGCCTGTGTGTCACACCTTTGTCTGTTAGGACTTGCTCACTCCATCCATGCACTTTTTCATCCAAAACTATTCCCTTACTTATGCCCTTTTTTTTCCCCTATATTCAGTGTGTGAAAAAAAAATAATAACATGGACTTCATAAATACAGAGATTCCAATAAAAAATGCTAAGCATAGGAAAACCAAAAGTGATATTCTAAAAGCCAGGCTGCTTTTACTATCAGTACATAAGAAACTTAGTTTCAAGAGAATGTTAATTGGATTTAAATATTGGGATACAAAGTAGGACAAAATTTAAATGGTGGATCTAGAACTTAGAAAGCCTAGTAGAAGGTTTTGGATAAATGTGTGCTGCCTTTTGATTTTGTAAGTGTTTAATGTTCAAAATACTAAATTGCAAATAAACCTTGTAGCTTGTGAAGAACATTTCTTGGCAGAAAATATATGCTAAGATGTTTGTTTAGTCTCCACCGTTGCCAAACCCATCTGTATTGAGAAAAGAACTGAGACAGTTGCAGAGAAAATAAGAACAAAACAAAGCAAAACCAAAATGCTCTTACAGAAACCGGACAGTCCAGTTTCTAGACACTTAGAACAAGAGAGGCGAAACCAGAGGCTTTTGGAAAGTTACAGTGACAAGGGTCACAGAATTCTGTGCCTTTAGAAATGGTGCTGCCCAGGGATGGAGGGAAGTACAGCATCCAGACCCTGCTCAGTCACAATGAGCTGCCTTCTTCCCCAAATAAACTGTATCTTAAAAAATTGAAATGAGCAAAATATTTTAGTATTTGAGAATAAGGTACTGTTCCTTCACCTCCTCCCATGTGTAAATTAAAAATGCCCTACAAAATCCTGTGACAGAACTTGCAATTCACTGATCTAGAAGAGTGTTCTCCAACCTTTTGGGCTCCTGCACACTATTAGTAAAATAATGTAGTACACCAACAGCATAGTATATATAAAATTTTTACAATATAAATATTCATATTTATGATTATAAGTATATGCTCTGATATACTGTATATATGATAATCTGATAAACTACAATATGGCAGTAAAGCTTAGTTTATATTTCAAGTGAGCATGAATGTAAATAGAAGTTGTATTTTCTTCATTTACCCTAGCAAAGCATTTATATATTTTACTTGCAAACTGCTACAATCAGCCAGGAGGTCTTCACTTTCACTGAGTTACGTATCACTTTGAGAAATGGACAAAAGATAAAAGATATAGATCATCACCCCTCTAAAAATGTTATTTCCTTATTCCTCAAGACTTAGATATACTTCCAGAGGTTGATGACTCACTGGAGTTTTCTCCTAGACCACTCAGGTGAGGTAGCAAAGGCTCTCAGACTAAGAACTTACTATCTAGAATGGAAAAAGTAGCAAATAATGTTTGAAATGAGAAGAGAATAAATAACTGGGGAAAGTCTGTGCCTTTGGTTTAGAGACAATTTTGATTTTTGAGAATTAAAAGGATTTTGGAATTTTTTGGTCCTATTCTGTGGGAATGACTCATGGGGTTTCAATATAGTCAACTCAAGTTTTCTTTTCAGCAAATATTTAACATATCTCTCAATATATTTCCACCTTTTGGTAAATGTTCATTGGTATAGGTATCTCCATTTTTTTCTTAGTTAAATACTTCTTTCATTTTTTTCTCCATGTAAAGTAGGATAGCTATTGGACCTTGCATTAAAAACCTTCTTTATACTAATAACATTCCTTTTGTTATTACTTTTGCAGTTGCTTTAAATAACACATTTATTTTGAGTTCTGCTTCTGGCAGAGTTGCAAAGTCTATCAAAAAGTTACCCTGTGTCTCAGAAGCTTGTTAGAAATAGCTGCCACATCAATATTGTAACAAAGTGTTAAATAAACCTTTTTTTAAAATGTTAAATGGGTTCTTTTTAAAAAGAAAAATGAACCATTGAGTCAAGTAAAAACAGTATTGTTCCACATCATGCAAATACATTTGTTCTGATATAAGTCTTGCTGCTACAGATAAAGGAAACCTCCAACACAACAGTCAGGAAAAACAGGACCAACAATTATTATTATTTCAGGCTTTTGCTGTGTGTAGGCCAGTATTTCTAAAATTTCTTTTCAAAAAGTTATTGTTAAATACAGAACTATAACAAAAATACATTTGTTTAGTTATGTAAAAAACTCATATGCAAGTATTTCAAATCACACAGAAAATTTTTTTAAAATTAAAAACAAATTTAAGAATAAAACTACTGGGCTTATCCACACGTAATGGTTAGGAACACAAACTCTGGGTTGCATTGCACTAGGAGACAATTTTCCATCACTCCCTTGTATTTTGTAGAGAAACAGGAGATCCAGATGCTTTTTTCCCTACACCATCTTTCCAAGGATGTTTCCAATAGTAAGCAGCCTCAGAAAACAGGTAATTTCTCCCTGCAGAGTAAAAGGGCAGGCATTGTAAAATATTTGTGCTCCCAAGCTCAGGGCTTCTCACCTATGATGCAGCCCAGTGTGTATGCAGGGGTCACGTGGTTCTCTTCACATTGTCCCGTGGAAATTGGAGCCCAGGAAATCAGTGCAAGGTAAGGCTGAGCCCTCTGTCTCCTCTCAAAGCTGTGAGTAATGAAGTGTTTTTTTTCTCTGACCCAGGAACTTTGTGTCTTCTGCCAGCATCCGTGAAACTATC